ATAGGCCTTGTCCGGGCCGTTTGCCATTAACGATTTTACGAATGATTGCACTCGCTTCTTTTTTCCCTTGTGTCATCGGGTTCAGGCTTGCATATCTACTGGCTGTTTTGCCGGTCTGCGTCTGTGGTTAGTCTATCTTTCTGAGCGGTGCTGTTATTGCATACATGGAGCTTCGGCTGCGTATAAAACTAGCATATAACATTTGATCGTCGGTGTTCCACAAGTGTGTCTGGTAATTGTAGCTGAGTTGTAAGTCTGACTACCAAAGAAATGTCAAGCGTAGTCGACCTGTATGATTTCCTATGTACCTTCTTTCTACACTCTAAATACCTGGAAGCCCGCCGTCTCAACCAATCCTCGAGCTCTCTCAGCTTCAGCCTTATCCACACCTACAGAGAGAAGAAATCTCACTTCAGCAACCTGCGCTGCTCATCCTCCAAGATCTCCGGCAGCGTCGCCTCGAGACTCGGCCGCGAAGGCGTCCACCCCAGCACCTTGGCCGCCCTCCTCGCCCTCCCACGCGAGTTCAACCCCCAGCTCAGCGACTCAAACCCAGCGAACTTCTTCCCCTCCTCCAAGCTGATCTGCTCCGCCCTCGACTGCCCGATCAAGCCCAGCTCAGCCGCATACTTGGCGATCGCCCGCGACAGCTCCCCCCAGACATGCTCGCCATTCTCGGCGAGGTAGTAGGCGCGCGCGCCCCAGCGCTCGCGATCGTTGTCGTCGCTGGCGTTGTTGCCATCGCGCGGACGACCCTCTCTTTCAGCTACAGCCGCCTCAACCAGCAAGACATACAGATCGCTGAGATCGTGCACGTGCACATTGTTCCAGATGGATTTGCCCGCGCCGATGATGGGCGCTTTCTGGAGCTCGAGCGTCACGCGGGCCAGCTCGTAGACTTGCCGGCCGCGGCGGGCGGATGGGCCTCTCCCTCTTCCTTTTCGGTATTTTGTCAACAAGAGTCACACAGAGTACAGACCTCAAACAAAAGAATGAGTAGTACAAGGGATGAGAACTGCGGCCCGTGCGGGCCCGTGAATGGGTCGTGGGGAACATACCGTAGATGGTCGGCGGACACACCAGCGCCGTCCGAACGACATCCCCCCGTTTCGCCCCCGTCTCCAGCACGATCTCGTCCACGTTCCGGTGGAACGCGTGCGCCGGCAAGTTCAGCAGCTCGTCCACCCCGTCCCAGTCGTCGTACACCTTGTCGCTGGCCTCGCCGAACACGTCCCGGTCCGTGTCTGCGTACGTCAGGATCCCCGTCCCGCCCGTGTGCAGCCAGTACCCCGGCTTCTCGGGGGTGTGGCCCTTGACGAGGCCCGCGGCGATAGCCTTGGCTGCGCCCGCGTGGTCCGAGGCGTCGGCTGTGTCTGTTTTTCTGTCTTGTTAGCTATCCTTAATGATTGGTCGGCTGGGTTTTCGGCGGTAGGCATAGCGTAGCAAGGCGGGTGCACTGGGCTGAGGATTGGGGATTGGGGATGAGCGTACGGAGAACAATATCGGCGTCGGCGCTTTCCTTCTCCAACAGCTCGGAGTTGTCGAGGTCGCCGATGACTACCCGCGCGGAGGGGTATTGCTCCTCCACGGCCTGGGCTTTCTCGGCGCTGCGGACTAGCACGGTGTATTGATACTCGGGGTGCTTCTGGACGAGGGCGTAGAGGGCGTCGCCGCCGATGTAGCCAGTTGCGCCGGTGCTGGTGGGGGTTTGGTTAGTTGAAGTTTGGGGTTTTTGACTAATGGGGGTGGTGGACTTGCATGAAGATCTTGGGGATATGGGTCATTTTGGCTCCAGTGCTCTATTTGTGAATTTGTGATCAGTTTGATGGTAGGGTTTCGGAGGCATGTGTATCTCGATGGATGGCATGAATGAGGCCTTGATATAGTATGCCGGCGGAGATGATAGGCCCATGACGTGATGCTGTTCTACAATACTGATTAATAATGCATCTTGAGGTTGAGGCCTGAGGCCTGTGCCAGGTGTGCAAGGGTTGGTGCCTGATGGGGCAATCTCGGCCGACGGCGGTTACCGCCGACAAACTGACTGGGTTTAGATTCCGCAATGCATCTGCATCCTCATTCTTCTTGTCTGCTTGGATCCTGTACTTGACAGCCACTCAAACCTCAAAGTGGAAGACAACCATGGCTGCTGGCGTTGCTCATGCTATGGATCGCATCTGCTCAATACCTAAACTCACTTAAAGCTTTGGACTCACCTAAGGCTTGTGGGCCACTACTCGACCACCATGGCACGACCCTCGAGGCAACGCAACCCTCAGCATCTAGAGAATCTTGGCAGCAGAGAAAGCAACGCCAGCCAATGGTGTTTCCGTCGTGCAGCTGCTCCTCCACTCGCTGCCCGATTCCTATTTGACAGCCGGGGCTATGTCCGACCCCAGCTCCATCCACTCGGGGTGTGGGCCTTTCTTTGCGTCCGATCTCCGCTCGCGGGATGAAGTTTTATCCTCTTGACGGAGACAATGCTGAGGATTTGTGCGTTTCTGCAGGGCATTGGTACTTATCCCTAAGGACTTCCTGCGTCTGATGATTGAATGCAACGTGAGGGACACGCGAAGGGTCAATCGGCTGGGGATCTCCACGGCGCTTTGGCTTGCCCTCGATAAGGGGCTATACTCCTTGACCAATCACTCAAAGTCACCATGAGCAGCAAGCTAAATATCTCCGCGGCCGAGTTCTACGTACTGGGCCGCAGATAAGGCATGCTTCGATATTGAAAGCCTGTGACTCGTCGGGCTTGGCTCCGGTCGACAGCTGCCCCTCAGGACTACATAAAGCGGGGTGGGCTGTTGCCCACGTCTATCATTTTTTTCTCTCTCTCGTCCTTCTGGCCAGTTGCAAACTTGGACACAACAAAGATGGCGACGGAACAGGTCCTGCCGGTGACTCGTGAGCGTAATATCGAGGCCCAGAGTGCCTTTGCCTCCACTCTGGTGGCCGATGTCGAGAAAGCGCCTCACCCTAAGGAGTCTCCTTCGGACAGACCGCACACCAATGTCTATGGATCGACGATCGACACCCCGACTTCCCAGGCGGGCACGGACGCGGTTTATGCGGCCAAGGCGGCGCTCTTGAACCAAGCCTTGTTGGACATGGGCATGGGCCTGTACCAGTGGTTGCTCTTTGTGATCACCAGTGTCGGATGGTTTCTGGACAGTGTATGTTGGACCTTGAACCATACGTGAGAATCGTCAGGGGTGCTAACGGTTTAGTTCTGGCTGATGTCGTTCTTCATTATCGCCCCGTCCGCCGCCAACGAGGCGCAGTTCTTCTACTCATACAACAAGGAGGCTTACCTGTTTATCAGCTTGTTTGTCGGCATCACCACCGGTGCGACGGCCTGGCCTTGGATGTCCGACTTCCTGGGCCGCAAGTGGATCTTCACCAGCACCGTCGTCCTTATGGGTATGGGAGGACTGGTGGGAGCTGGAATGCCCGCCTTCACGGGTCTTTGTGTGGTGGGATTCGTTGTGGGCTTTGCGGTGGCTGGAAACCAAGTTGTGGATGCGATGATCCTGCTGGAGTCGGTTCCTGCCTCGCACCAGTTCTTGGTCACCATCCAAGGTGCTTTCTGGGGACTGGGACAGCTTGTGGCGTCAGCTGTTGGCTGGTGAGTGTGCTGCTTCTGTCTGGCGTGAAAACTGGTCTAACCGAGCATAGGGCGTTCATCGCGGAGTACACATGCGGCACTGGCCCCGACGAAGTCAGCACCGCGACAGCACTCTCCCACCAATCCCGCGCCACAGGATCCGGTAGCGGTAGCGGCAGCGGCAGCAGCAGCAGCTCCTGCCACTATGTCAGCAACAAGGGATGGCGGTACGTGTGGTGGACCTTCGGCTGCATGACTCTGTTCCTGTACCTCTGCCGCTTCGCCTTCCCCCTCCACGAGACGCCCAAATACCTGCTCTCGAAACGCCGGGACGCCGAAGCGACGCAGCTGGTCAAGGACATGGCCTCCTACAACAAGCGGCGCACCTGGCTGGACGAGTCGTCCTTCGCGCGCATCGACTCGACCGTGGACGCCAGCACGCCCGGGTCGCGTCGGCCATCCCGCCTCAAGGCGCTGCTGTCATCCGCCGGCCCTCTCGGCTTTGCCGCGCTGTGCCTCCTCTGGTCCGTCACCGGGCTGACCTTCATGCTCCACAAGACCTACATCAGCACGTACCTCGTCACCAAGGGCGTGGCCTCCGTCACTGCCACCACCGTGACCACGGACTATCTGTACAGCCGGTACCTGTACGTGGCCATCTGCGCCATCCCCGGCCCGATCATCGCCGGCTTTCTGATCGAGGCCAAGGGTCTCGGGCGCAAGCGCACGGGGGCCGTGCTTGCGGTGCTGACGGGCCTGTTCATGTTCCTGGCGACGGTGTCGCGATCCCGCGACGCGCTCTTGGCGTTCGACTGCATTCTGTCGTTCTTTGGGGCTGCCAACCTGGCCGTCCTCACCACGTACACGGTGGAGCTGTTCGCCGCGCCCTTCCGTGGCTTCGGTCTCGGGGTGATGGGTTTCCTGGGTGGCTTGTTCGGGCTGATTGCGTCGATCGTGACGACGTTCGAGAGCGGTGCTGCCGGCGGCGCGGCGGTGTGGTTCTCCGGTGCGGTCTGGGTGGTGATGGGTGCGGCGTGGATGGGCGTGCCCGAGACCAAGGGTCGTGCTGCTGCCTAGTCTGGGGGAGTTTTCGGGAAGGTGAGTAAAATGGGCGGGCGTTAGCTTATGATGGCATGGATGGTTATACGAAGTATGAAGTATGAAATATGAAGTATGTTTGTCGTATGTGTCAAATTATCCTTCCGTAATCCATTTCCCTCTGAAATTCTCTCCACGAGAATGATAACACAGTTAGCAGTCTATCCTAATGAACGTATCCAATACCTAAACCACCCACAAGCCCAAATAGCCACTCTCTCCTCTAATTAAATAAACAGCACGTCATGTGCACACCTACACCCCCCCCCCCTCCTTCTTCCAAGATAATAAAAATCTATCCCCGCCAAATCATAAACCAATTCCTCTCGCCCCCCTCCTCAACAACCACCTCCCCCTCCGAAACCCTCACGAACCCCCGCTTCACATACAGCAACCGCCCCTCCCGCGACGCGCACAGGTAGATCTGTCTCCCTTCGGCGCGCGCGCGCTCGATCCCCCACGCCAGCAGCCGGGATCCCAGCCCTTGGGACCGGTACGCCGGGTTAGTGCCGAGGATGCTGAGGTCTAGCCTCGCTGTTAGCATGAGTTCGTCGCCCAGAAAAGGTGTACTCCGGGGTATTCCCCGGTCCAGTGATGGGATGGGGGGAAAGGGACGTACAATAATACCCGCCTTCCACGCCGCGCATATCCTCCTCGCGGTGGCGGGTAGCTTGTGCGCGGAGGCGGAGCAGGAGGTCTTTGTCGGAGGGGTCGAGATTGGGTGGGAGGTTGGGGTCTTTTGCGTCTTGGGGTTGGGTTGAGGGGGTGGGCGGAGACGGATCTTGATCTTGACTTTGAACTGGGGTAGCAGGAGCAGGCGCAGGGGAAGGGGAAGGGGAAGGGAGCTCCCACTCCGCGAAGGCGACGATTCTCCCTTTCCCTTTCATGCTCTCTTTCTCCACGCCTGGATCCGCATCCGCATCTCCAACTGCTGAACTAGGTCTGGTAGCATCATCACTCCCCGCATAACTCCCACTCTCGCTACCACTTCCGGCAGCTCCGCTGTCACTCCCACTCTCACTCCCCTCACCGGCACTACCGATCCCCGCAGGAAGCGGCTCCGCCTCCCATTCTACCATCTTCAGCACCACGCTCCGGCCGCTTGCGATCTTTCGGCGGAGGTTGGCGGTCCACCACGAGTGCATCTCCGGGGTCGGGGGGAAGATGCGCCGGTGAGCGGCGTTGGTGAAGCAGGTGAAGTACAGGGCGGCGAGGGCGGGGGCGTCGGCTTCTGTGGCTGTTTCGAGATGCATTATGCTGCCAGTGTGCTTATTGGATTTCTGCATTGGTAATGGATTGGGTGGGTTGGTGGGTTGGTCAAGGGGTGTGTTGATATTTGGGGGTGGATGGATGGAGTCTGGTTTTCTCGGATGGATTGAGGAGGGGTTGTTGTGGGTGGGGTTGAGGTTTGGTCGCGGATTTATACTTCAGGCTCAGGGAGTTCTTTCTTTGTAGGTGAAGCTAGGCACCAGTCTTTCTTCATGTATATTGGTAGATGGTGTTGTGATGACTTCTCAGACAACCCTATACTCCGTTCTGTGCTGGGCTTACAACCTTCGGAGTAGATGCTCCTATCAGAGGTAAGAACCAGCTCCGACGGCAAGGGACCAGCTCCGTGGATCGGGGTAATCACGAGTGACTAGACTCGATCGGGATTCCCGTTGACACACTTCAAGGTTCCAGCTTCGTTGGAAAGATGATTAGAGATTAGATAATGCATACTCAAAATTAGCACAAGTCATTACTATCAGTCATACTATGCATCATAACGCAGCCAGCAGTCACAGTCGTAGTCACAGTCACGGCTTGCCCTCCGTCGGCGCCGGACTCCGAACCCTCTCCACTACATACGGTTCATTGGGATACGGTGAGCGTGGTTGCGGTGGAGGATACATCGGGCCCTGTTGCTGTTGCTGCTGCATCTGCTGCACCTGCTGCGGCTGTTGCTGTTGCTGTCTATGCTGCGGATAGAACATCCGGCGGTTCGGGCCCCCCTCGCGCGGCGCCGCCCGATTCTCCGTGCTTTTCGTCTGGTCGATCTCGCGCTTCACCCCCTCGTACATGTACTCGATGATGTGGATCTCCTCCTGGATGTCCAGCTCGCAGCCACTCAAACAAAGCTCGCGCTCGCGCTGCTCGATGTACTCGCGGATGTTGCGCCACTCGTTCTGATAGTGTTTCAGCCGGTCGGGCAACCCAGAGCCCTTGAGGTACGTGAGCACCCCCGCCATGATCGTATTGATCGCCCCAAATGCCGTCACCGCCGAGTGCGGCCCGCTGGCGGCGCCCAGCGCCGTCAGGGCCGCTGCCACCACGATCTGGATCCCCAGGCACACGTTGATCAAGACACTAAAAAACCGGTATCGCCGCTCCGCCGAGTGCTCCGCCTTGACGACGCGGGTGTAGATGCCGATGTTGGGCGCCGTGCGGCGGTAGTGTTGCAGTGTCGTTAGCGCGGGGATGCTGTCGATCCCCGTCAACGCGCGGAAGACGAGTAATTTGTCCTGCGGCGGAATGAGGGATCCGATGTCGGTGGTGGAGATGGTCAGGTGGCGGGGTTGTTGTTGTTGCTGTGGGTGGTAGGAGTGGTGGTGCTGTTGTGGTTGCTGCTGCTGCGGCGGCGACGGCGGCGGCGGGACAGGAGGTGGCATTGCGGCGGCACCCATTGCCTCTAAATCTCCGCCCGGCAGCATCCCAGGGGTCGTCGGGGGAAAAACCCCCGGTGAGGTCATAGGGGGGAAATGATGCTGCTCATGTTGCTCACGTTGTGCACGGGGCAACAAATTCATAAAACGTCCAACAAAACCGGAGCGTGGATGTTGCGCCATCGTGGCGGGTGGGAAAGGGCGGGATGAACCTCCCGAAAAACACAAAAAACTTCAAAGCCCTCGCTCCAGAGGGGGAGACCGGCCCGTTTTAAGGAGCTTTGGGGAAGGGTGGATATCCCCCCTTGGGAGGTTTAATTATTACACATCCAGCCCGGCGCACCTGAAGGACGCCACCCCTTTCTGCAAATGGCGCTACTCCCGTGGTGTTCGTGCGCATGGCAGTGCAAGATAGAGAAGCCGGCTGGCCCTTCATTGGTGCTTGACGGCGTCCAAGACCTGCAGCGTCGAGGCAATTTAAGCGGCCGGCTGGACCCTTGACCCACATGGATCGACAAGCAGCAGTTCGGCACGAAATGAGGGGATTGCGTGCGGTTTTCGAGTTCAGCGCGCTCAGTTCGGCAAATTTAACCCAATTGTGAGCTTCCTCGTGATGGAAGGAGAGTTCAAATGTTGGGGGTGACAAGGCTTTGTTGGTCGCTGCAGGAAGATGTGATAGTGGCGAGCTGAACGTGTTCTTGCCGCGGCCGTCATGGAGTTACGAAGTCTGCAGCGCAGTAGCTTGAACGAAGCTGATTAGCCCGTCGACCACACGAGAATCACAATGGGTTTGTGCGGGTTAAGGGTGAATGGGCAGATGACTCGCGATACGGACCTAGACTCGACAGTCTGGAGCAGGCTTCGCGCTAGCAAGGATTTTTCGGCCATGGCCGCCGTATCGATCACTCCAAAAGAGACGGCCACTGTCCGAGTCTGCGAGGCAACGATCAGCCACGGGGCGGGCTGGAGCTCCCGGCCCCATTCTGCAAGCACTAAGCTGGATGAACCACGGATAGGCGCCTGTCAGATTGGAGGATGGGAAGTCCAAGCGATTCGAGGGAGTGAAGTGTGCTGTCCACCGTCGATCACATTTTCGTGAACTGGTCATGAACCAGTCTTTTAAGCGACGTACTTCTGTCATGTTTGTTGCGGTGGCATCGTTAACCGGAAGTGGGCGGGACGGCATGTTTCGACACTGGAAGAATAGATTAATTGACGACCCGCATCCCATCGGCAATTGTAACTTGTGACTGACCGAGAGATTAACCTCCATCGCAACACCAACATCTTCCATGATGCCAACGGAGTTCTATCAAGAAGAGCGACCGAGGAGCGCAAGAGAAAGAAGATACGGAGGAGCGAGCCAAGAACGATCGAGCGATAAGAGAAAGAAAGACGCCGGCGGGCTTATCTCAACCGTTCCCCGCGCTTAGTAATCCCCCTCTCCCCGGGAGGCCTGTCAAGCATCCTCAAAAGGAAATCGTCGCAATTGCCGGCGATAAGGAAAAAAGGGAAAAGAGCGCCAGAAACCGAGTCAATGGCGCAATCTAAACCCCTCACGTCCACTCCCACATTGACGCTCGACACTTCCTGAATCCTTCATGTCTTCAAACTCACAATCACAATTCACAATGGGAGACGCACCTCTAGCCCAAGACCGGATCCTCATCACCAACGCCAGCGACTTCTCGCCCGCTCTCCTCGAAGAGATCCAGGCTAAGTTCGCCCACGCGGATATCACCTATTTGAAGCTTGAGAACTTCACCCCGATTCCCACCGGTATGCTTGCAACTCTCTTCGAGAGACTTTCTAGATCATCGAGAGTGTTATTATTATGCCAAATGCTGACCTCCCACCTCGCAGAATACGCCCAAAGAGCCACCCACATCGTGACGTTCAGCAACCTCCCCAACGTCGAAGATGTGCGCAAGTACGTGGCTGTCCCTTCTCCTTGTCACTACGACATCCTTCCCCCAAAGAATCATTCCTCCAATCTAACGTCAGGAACAGCGTCAAGCTCATCCACTTCTTCTCCGCCGGCCTCGACCACATCATGACGCACCCGATTGTCCAGACCACGCAGATCCCGCTGACGTCCAGCTCGGGGATCCACGGGCCCCCGATCGCCGAGTGGGTGATCATGAACTGGCTCGTGGCCTCGCGGCGGTTCGTCAATATCTACAAGAGCCAGGAGCGCCACCACTGGGGCAAGTACGGGGAGTGGATGAGCGGGGTCCACGACCAGGTCGGCCGGAAGGTCGGGATTCTGGGGTACGGGAGTATCGGGCGGCAGAGTACGTTGCCCCTCCCCCACAAAAAAACAAACCCCCGGCTTTAGCGGGAGGTATATATAGCTGATATCTAGCTAATGTGTGCAAAAGTCGGCCGCGTCGCCTCCGCCCTCGGCATGCAAGTGCACGCCTACACGGCCTCCCCACGACCGACGCCCGCCTCCCGCGTCGATACGGGGTACATCGTGCCCGGCACGGGGGACCGCGAGGGCACGATTCCGGTCTCGTGGCACCACGGCACGGATCGGGCGTCGATCCACGCGTTCCTGGCGCTGGGGCTGGACCACCTCGTCGTCGCGCTGCCGCTGACCCCGCAGACGACGCATCTGCTGGGCGCGGACGAGTTCCGGCTGCTGGCGGCGCATGCACAGAGTCCACCCTTCGTCACGAACATCGCCCGCGGCAAGATCCTCGACCAGACCGCGTTGGTGGCCGCGCTGCGCGAGGGCGTCCTCGGTGGCGCCGCGCTGGATGTCACGGATCCCGAACCCTTGCCCGCGGACGATCCGCTGTGGGAGGCGCCGAACGTGCAGATCAGTCCGCATATCAGCGGCGCTGGGTTGGAGTATATTCCGCGGTCGTTGGATATCCTGAAGGAGAATCTGGGGCGCTTGGCGCGCGGGGAAGGGATTTTGAATGAGTACAAACGCGGGAAAGGGTATTGAACATTGCATTTTTCCAACGGAAATGCAATTCCAAGACGGGAGAGGTCATGTGAAGGGATTTTTCTTTTTTCTGTGATTCAATTAAGATATAAAGAATAGATTACATGATCATTGCCGTCGTACAGAGTACATCGAAGAAGGAAACACACATGAGGAAAGAAGAAAGAAAACTATTTAGTGAGCAAGCCACGAAGGCCCTCCTCGACCACAACACCCACAACCCCGAAGCCGACGACCGCCCACGTCCACGGGTTGACGATCTCCTTGAACCCGGGCCAGAAGCTGTTCTTCTTGCTCTTCCACTCCTGAAGCTGGTCGTACTTGTGCAGGTCCTCGGTCTTGTAGCGCTCCTCCTGGCTGGCCTCGGTCATCTTGTCGCCGCCGATGAAGCGCAGGAAGACGTAGTTGGTCAGGGGGCCCAGGATGACGAGCGGGTTGAAGTTGGTGGCACAGTTGATGAAGGCGAAGCCCAGGTGCACGAGGGTGTCGCCGAGGTAGCTGCCGCAAAACATGGTTAGCTGGTTGCTTTCTCCCCCTCATCTATGAAAGAAAATTGAGATTGGGCGCAGGGGCTAGGAATCATACTTGGGATGTCTAACGATACTCCACACGCCAGTGCGGCACAGATCCGTCCTCTCGGCGCGGTGCGCCTCCATCTGCTCGTCGGCCAGGACCTCGAGCGCGAACCCGGCGCCGAACAGCCCCACGCCGAAGGCGCGCAGCGCGGCCTGCACGTCCGTGTCCAACGCGACGCTGGGGCTCGTCAGCCGGAAGGGCAGGGTGAAGGGCAAGCTGATCAGCGTCAGCAACGCGGCCTCCGGCAGGTACTGCTTCCAGAGCATCTCCTTCCAGAAGCCGACGGGCTTCTGCTTCTTGAGCTGCACGTAGCGGGCGTCGTCGGCGCCGCGGCGCAGGGTGCGCGAGGCGATGCGCGCGAACAGCCGCGTGCCCCAGGCGGTCACGAGCGAGAGGAGGGTCTTGTCGGTCCAGGAGAGGGCGCGCCAGGCGGTTTGCGGGGAGACGTTATTATAGAAGACTTGGTGGCCCACGGCGCTCCACCAGGCGTTGATCACCTGGCTGGCTGGCCAGTTCCAATCCTTGAGCTCGGCTTTGTCGGTCGCGCGCGACGCCGCCCACGCCGCCAGGTCAAGGGTCGTGTGCAGCGCGAACGAGGGGAGGATGGTCGAGCGCAGGATGCCCAGCTCGCCAGTAGCGAGTCCGGGGCTGCGGAGACGGTCCGCCTGCGCTAACGGCGAACCTGACCCCGTGAGATTCATGGTCGCGATTGTTGTGGTTGTATCAGGGATTTAGTCTGAGCGAAGAGAAAAAAAGAATTCGTGTGAATCTGGGGGAGGGAGTTGGTTATAAACGAAGTCTGGGGTAGGCTGTTGATGTCAGTATTATGTAACGTGGTGATGACGTCGTATTGTCACTTCCTTGCTCGTCCCGAATTGGCCAATGCCAGGGTTGGAGCTCGGCAGTACAACTTGGAAGCTTGATCCGCAGGTATGTATGTGTGTAATTAGATGAAATAATTTCTATTGCAAATTATAGCGCAATATAAGCAGCCAGCTGCAAGGAAATGTGAAACATGAGCTAATTATGCGTGTGTGACAAATGCTGGTATAGGTGATGCTGTATAAGTATGCTTGGCGATCATTAGATCATTGAGATGGAGATGAGAAATTGAAACGCAATGGAAGAACATTCGGTTGTGCTTCTCTATATCTGGCTCGTATCAATTCATTTAGACGCTGGGTCCATAGATCAATTGGTGAGTCGGTCGCGAAAATACTCGACGTGTCCGTCCCAGTCACGGGATCCGTGTATAAGGGTTCTGGGCTCATTCCTTTAGCCAGTTTCAAGAGCCGTGAGACATCTGTCGATACTGTCACACCCGTATCAAAAAGTGCGTGCTCCTCTGGGATATTCTCAAATGGTAGCTTGTTAGTGCTGATTCGCTTGGGTTTCGACGTCCCGTCCGAGGTCGCGTTCTGCGCGCGGTAGCGTATCAGGTATGACCTCGGGTCATGTGGAGACAGCACGGGTCTGTTTGTCTGCTCCAGCTCGACCATATCATGAGGATGGCCGATCGCTGGATTGGAGCTGAGAGCAGCTCGCGCATTGAGGTATCGGTTCAGGTGCGGTGAGCGGGCGGTAGACGTGGCCTGACTGCTCTGGAGCTGTTTACGCCGCTCCTGTATGGCATCGCGCTTCCGGCGTTCGAAGTCCAGTGCTTTCTCAAGTTCGTTTTGACTATCCCTAGACAATTGATGAAGCCTCGAGGACCATCGTTCGAGGACTGGAAGTCCGCGGTGATTGCCCTGGATCTCCGTATCTTCGGTTGCTGATGGGGAGCGATCCAGGACCTGCGACATTGCTGTCGCCGCAGTGGGGCTGTCAGGTACATCGTCGGCGGAATTTTGTGGTTCCTGGAAGGTTGTATTGGACGCTTCGAAACGCTGGGCTGCTAAGTTCGCCAAAGAAGGCTCCTCTGGTTCCTCGCGTGGCTGCCCTGAGGCCTCCAATCGGGACATCGCCACTTGCGTAGTCTTTCCAAACCAGGTGTCAAGCGATCCATTTCCGTAACGCTCTCTGTCACGATCCCGCATTGCACGTTTCACACTTTCGTGAGTATTGTGCTCTGGGGGACTGCGCGAAGCCTGTAGTCTAATGGGGGAAATCTGAGCTCGTGACGGAGAGATGGCCAGCGTGCTCGTGCTCGATGCGGACGGGCTCGGAAGAAGCGACTCTGGTGAATGAGCAGGTCGCGACTCTAATGAGTTCCTGCGACTCTCTGCAAAGTTGTCGCCGATGGCTTCGTAGGTTGACTGAGTATGTGACGAAGTCCTAGAAGAGCCGCTGAGTACATTCAACTTCGTGAAAGACCATGGGTTCAGCGCTTCCAAACGCTTCCGTCTTATGTTGTTCAAATCGGACGTATGAGATGCATCGGTAGACGGTGGCGTGGCTTTCGGCATCGAATGTGCTGACATGAACCCCGGCGGGTGACTGCTCGTTGTTGTACTCTGCGTAGCCTCGGTCGGGTCCTTGCGAGCCAAAAGCAAGTCAAACCCATTCGACTCTCTGACCGGCGCTTTTCCTTTTTGCAAAGAGCGTGGCTGCTCGGTGGATTCAGTTTGTCCTCCGTAGATACCGCGAAGCAAGTCCTCCACAGCGGAAAGCAGCTCCTGCGGGTCTTCAAGCAAGACATCATCCTTCGCAGGCTCGATGTTGACATCATAAGTCGCTTCCTGACAGCGGATATGCAGACACAGAAACGGGTCAGTAACATTCGATTGGCCCTGCCAATAACTCGCTGCGTATTTTATATAAGACTTGAACAACTTCGCAATGTCTTGACCGAGACCTCTCGCAGCCGACAGCGGTCTACCATCAATGCTGATGTACTGACCCGAGTTGCTGGTTTGCGCAATATCTGGCAAAAGTTAGTCAAAACTCCGAATATAGTCTACGAAACACATACCAAGCTCTGGGTCCGGGAGAAGCGCGGTCAAATGATAGTGCCGTCCGGTCTCTTTCTCTATGCCAGCGGGAGGATCATCTCCCCATTCCCTCACAACACAGTTCGAGGCAACATCCTTACCCACCACCTTGAAGGCGGCGTCCGAGAGAGTCGCATCCTTGCCTGGCGCGTACATCCAGTTGTTGCTCTCGTTCTTCGCCCTCAGTACTTTGAGGGACAGCCGCTTCGCAGGCTGCGCCAAGGCATAGGCCTGGACCAGCTTTTTGATGCGGACCAGCGTCTTGGCGGCGTTATTCGAGGCCGTCTGCCGTCGCACGGGTATGTGCTTGAAGAGATCCGCGATGCGAACGGCTGTTCCCACCGGGTGCGCCGTGCGCTGCGTACTGCCAGCGGATTTTCAGTATTCCTCACCCCCTCGACATAACGAACTTGGACAACGTACTTACCTGATCAGTTCCCCGTCTCGACCATACTTGAGCACGTAGCCGACCGAGTCGTTCTCAACTCTGGTTGTCACGACCACGCTGCTGGAGACCTCGGCAGCACTGGCGAGCGCTTCGCCGCGGAAGCCCAGCCATGTTCCTCCGACATGCCGGAGATCTTCCACGGTCTGAATCTTACTGGTGAAGGAGCGTCTGCAGACGAATGGGTGGTCTTCGCTCGGGATGCCGGTCCCGTTGTCTTTGACTTGCACCACATCGACAGTGTTCTGCGAGATCTCGATTGTCAAAGAAGTGGCTGATGCGTCGAGGGCGTTGTCCAACAGCTCCTTAACAATCGAGCAGGGGTCGGAGATGACGGACGCCGAGCCGATCGCCCGTGCGGTTGTTGGAGGGAGCGCCGCGATTGGCATTTCTCTTGTCCTCGAACAGGTTAAGAGGTCATACTGGTAAGATAATTAGAGTATATGGGCGTGATTGAACAGATGCAAGGTATATAGAAGATAAGATGCTCTTGATGCGGTTGCTGCAATGGTATATTGTTTGTTCCAAGTTGTTCCTGAAGGCGAACAGAAGATGCTCGGTATCTCCACGCACACTAATCCCCATCGGGTCAGATTCGCTTAGTCAGTCACCCAAAGCTCTGCTCGCCGGGCATGCTACGAAGCCCATAGGTTGTGTCCTCTTCACAGTGCTTTTCTCCATGCCTTGAACCCATAACGACAGTATTGAGCGGCAATTCTTCATAGTCAGTGTACTAAGTAACTGGCAAAGTTGAGATTCGCGGCCCAAAATCGGAGATCCAAAGCTGTGGTTTCGCAAGCCCGTTACAACCATCGGCTCTGTCTCGGCATAAGGGAGAGAGTCTACAAAAACGGGGGGAGGTAAAAGAGAAAGTATCTTCGCGTGAAGTCTGTCGCTCTCAACGTCTTCTTGTAGGCCAATCAAGGCAGATGAGCCATGACTCTTTTAAAGGTGTTACACAATCCGGAAACCAGGTATATCGACTAATCCGAGCATGCGTATTCTTTGCTAGAATCCGACGTCTTGCGCCGAGAAAATCAACACATAACAAACACTTTTTATAGTGGCTATAGAACAGAAAATCGTGAACATGGCGCAGACACTTGTGATCATGAAAGCGATCTGCCCGAAGAGAAAATTTGGCATCAAGCATCATCAGTCATCGAGATTGTCCAACTGCACCGTGATAATGATCGATACAATAAAAGTCGTCAGGATGATCTAAATTCAAAAATCATCATATCAGAACCGCAATCCACCAGAAGTGCGAGATAGACTCACCAAGCCGATCAGTATCCCAATCAGATTCAGCTCCCACCCCCCAGCGTAAACCGTGCCCAAGGCCACCATATTCTGCTGCTTCCAGAAGCGATACGCGCCCAGGGAAGCGATGACAATGGCCGCCCCGTAGCAGGTCACGGAGAGCGGCACGCCCACCTCGTAGAACCCCAGCGCCAGATCCGGGGAGGCCATGTGCTGAAGGCGGAACAATTGCGCGATCAGCACGCCCTGCATGGCGACCATGACGGAGGTGCGGATATACGCCAAGAAAGTTCGTTCCAATGCTGGTATAGAACTCCAGGTTAGTTGTGTGTGCATAATAGATATTGATCACTTGAACAATCGATCGATGGTGGTGGGCTATTCGCTGCAGCGTGGGTTGGGGTGGTGCAATCGCCATATGGGATTCCGTCATTTTAGCGCGGCGATCATTGAATACGAGTTAAGCACTCCGTATAAATTAAATAATCCCAGACAACTATACAAAAACGAATGAGGAAGAATGCATCTCACCAAAATGATCCCGATTACTCCGTTGTGGCACGGTCAGCACCACATTTCGCGTCCAGAAGCGTTCGAGACGCCCCCAGGCCCCCTTGCGTGACTCCCGACTGCGCTGAGTCTGAGTGGCCTGAGAGACCGTTCGGAGCGTCCTGACGCGGTATTCCCCGGAGGAGATTGAATCGGTGGAAAAGCCGGCCTCGTCCACGTCTTGCGTCGAAACGTTGCGCAGTTCGAATGCATCGCGGTCGCTGTCGTCGTCGCTATGGCTCTCGCGACGGTGTTCGGCGGTGTTGACCGCCGTTTCAGTTGGGGGATTTTCGTCGCGACCTGCCACGGTGTTGGCGTGGTTATCTTCGACGTGGTGCTCGCGTACTTCAGCCATTGGGAATGAAGTCTAAAGAGATCTGTACGACATTTCCTAAGAATTCAGTAAGGGTTGTGTGGGCGAGAAAGGTTCTGCATTCTCTGGCCCCGACGAAGATCTTCCCCGGTCGGTCGGAGGGAGTCGGCGAATGCGATGATTGATGGATGATGTGTCACCCACCCTGGGCTTCCCTCCGATCCCCCGCGTTTTGGCAAAAGCCGGATTTCTTATCTGGGATTTCCACTCTTATCGTTCCATCGCTCATCCATGGTACGTACAGCTAAAACATCTAGTACCTAGACGGTAGATCTGGGTTCAACTCTGGTTCCCTACACCTGCGCACCCAATTACCACTCTACAATCAACATACACACCATCATCACAGATGAACCTTAGCCCACGCCTCCTGCTTCTCCTCAAACACCGCCATACTCGGAGGAGCAATGCTCTCGAACAACGGCGCCTTCAAGAATGCCTTCCCGGGCCTTCCAGGCGTGAGCGTATACAACGGACTATCTTAGATGAGCATGGCTCGTTCCTGTCGACCGTAGCAAGGGTCGACTTACCTCCCACAGCTTGAACAGAAATGGCGCTGCAATCCTAGCATCAGCCATAGCCGCGGACAAACCGTGTCCAACGAAAACATACCGAGATCTTATTCCCAGACCGAGTGTTCGGGTCCTGATAAACCTTCTTCACCTCATTGGGATCCTCCACGGTCATGTCATTTTCATCAACGAGATAATTGACCGAGAAGACTTTTAGAAGTTGGCACCGAGTTAGCACCGAACACGCAGCAAGAGAACGAAAACGCCAAGGCAGCTAAGCTTTGGGGAGAAACTCACGTCCGCCCCCGGCTTTTTTACAGTTCGTGCTATCCAGCGCGCGTCAGCGGTACACATACAAATGACCCCAGCGGTGGGGGGAGTTCTAGATGTACAGCTACCTACCAATGGCATATCACCGAATTGGCAGGCGGTTGGGGTAAGGAGATGCGCACGCTCGCACAATTGCATTGACCGATATAAGGCATTTTGATGGCTGTTGCAATTCAGGACCGTTAACGTTGCTGGAGAGAGTGGAGTGAGCCGAAAGACTTTATAGGTTCCATCTGCGGTGAGTTATCTGTTGTGTGTGCGACGGTCTGTTTTACTTGCTACAGTGGGGACTGCCCTCAACCTTGCTTCGGCTCATTTCCCTGACGTGGATTTATAAGCGCAAGTCGAAGCACGGGTGCATCTGTGATCTGAGATTTGAGGTTTTGTGTATTCCGCTGGTCGGCCAGCACTAATTTTTGACTCGTGCCGAGCCATGAGCCCGCCCGAAGGTGCTGCTATGCTTGCTCTTCTGAAATGCCTACAAAACTGAGTAACCAAAATGATGCTCTGAAGGTGGGTCTCACAGCCGGCCCAGACTTAAGCTCATCATTTCCTCTCAGGCAATGGCTGTGGAAACATCTGACAGCCTGTGCGACTGTCTACGCTAAAGATAACATGACATGAACATGGATTGTGCCGAATGCACATATTATCCCTGGCAGCGGGGATTCGGCATTTGTTCCGCATGCCAGTTCATGGTGACGTCATCACGGCCACCCGGCGCAAAGCGCCGCCAATTCGGGATGAGCATAGCTGACTAACATATTTCCCTCTACAAGCAGAGCTATGTATGTGTTCCAGCAATAAGAGTAGACAACTTTGGTCACCCAGCAAAAGTCCTAGTGAATACTTCGAATGATATATTCATCCTACACGATCGCCCTTGACCTTTCATACATGATGGCTAGGACAGAGAAACGATTGAAGTGTATGATCCTGTTTAAGGCAATCTTTCAATCTCACCTTGGTCTCTATGACCAGGGCAATTTCCTCTAGAAACTCCAGTCTCAGCATCCTTGAACAATAGTTACAAAACTGCATCTTCTGACACAGCGAGCTCCCCAAATAACGATGCCGGGATGCAAAAAAATAGTAAGACCCATGTCATACAGGGTCATCGGATCCCGCCGTCACAACTTACACGCTTCGCCCGATCATTTCAGCAACCCGGACTTGAAACCATGCTTTAGCACGGGGCTGAAGGATGATGAAGCCGCGTGGGTATGACCGATTCATAATCTGGGTTCATAGCAGGGCTCTGTAGCTTAGTAGTGCAGTAGCCGTTGACCACCGCCTGCGGTAATTTCACCAAAAGCTCCCTAAGATAATGCATATTATACTTGGTATATCAGTAAACATGAGGAAGGCTTTTCTAAGACGAACTGCATACTGTATACTATGCTTTATAGAATAAAAAGAAGCCTAGGAAGCACTTAAAGCGAAGTCATTGAGATCACATATAGCAACTGCCTATGTGCTTCCCCCATTGACAACGTAACAATACGGCGGTTTCTTGTTCCAACTGACTTCTGCCTGAAACTAGGCTCAAGGTTGATGATGATGAGCATTGCGCCCTTTGGAGGTAGCTTTGACAGAATCCAAATAACGTTGACTGCGACTGGCTTGTTCTTCTTTTGTTGCTGAGCTGATGTCAATCCTAAAGTGCTGGACCCGTATATTTCCAAAAAAAGCCTGTATTGTGAAGCTGATATAGACTGTTTCCAGAGGCAACAATTTCTCTTGTTGTGAACAAAGAGATACAGGAAAGCACAAAACATATGTAGTAACTGTACATGGTGATATCATGACTGGAATTGAGAAATATACTAGCATATGTTGGGACTGATATCATTTTGACAGTAGGACTTTTACCAATTCTTCTAGGCCATAATATATCACTGGGAATGAAAGTCTCCGAAGCTTCCCACATTCGATAAGCTTTAAAGTGCGCATTTTGTTGGGTAAGGTATACAGAAATCTAAAGTGAGCATCTGATACGGGCACCTAATACGAACTTATCATAATCAATACTAACAACGAACATTCAATCCCGGATCTCTACCACAAATATGTCCCACGGGTCCTACAATTGGAAAAATGCTGTATTAATGACGTTAGACCATGTAAAGACTATTTATGCTCCATCTTACAGCATCACGAAAATGTTGTAACATCTCTAGGTATTATCTACTGCACTATCGAAGACTTTTGCAAGTTGCCCCCCATCTGATTAGATCCCCTCTAGCTGCAAATCGACTACAGCCAGAAGACAGGTAGGTATAAGTTTTTACACCTCGGAATATGGAATAAGTTAGCATCGATATCTTTCGATGACAACTAGACGGTAAGTTTTTTTTTAAGTTTTTTTCAATCTCTTTAAAAAGAAAAAAAGGGGAGATGGGAGGGAGGGAGGTCTATACAGAACATCATGTCAATGAACATAGGCCCATGAAGTGCTCTGTAAGTGGGATCCAGGTCCACTGGAAAAAGCACTGCCGTGCGTGGAAACAACAATAGAGAACTAAAGCAGTATTAGTTAACTCCAGCATGGTGGTTGACTAGCGCGTAACGGGACCTTACCCTCGCCACCTGCTTGCCCCTGTTTCAAGACAACGGATTGACTTAGGACTGAACTGTTTTCTTTTGGTCTGACCTGAACAACTGCTCACACTCGTATAGAGCTCCACCACTACGTACAGTACAATATTGGGATAAGCGAAGAGCCCAGCCCCAAGGTCAATTCCAAGGAGTAATAAGCCCGAGCTGGGCCGCAGAAATGCAGTCCAGTCTTGCTGACTTCACATTATCAAGTCATACGAGCCCCGGAAACACATAGTAGTAGTTTTGGCCCCCGTGCTCTAATCCACTACCACCGTAAGCCTCCTCAAACGAATTCGAGGTGGACCCACTAGTAGAACCATTGCGTCTAGCAAAGAAGCAACGCCATCTGTTCCAGACATGCTTCTATATAGAGCAAGAGCGCAGCCTCCTCATCCGAAAATATAGCCAGATCTCCTATCTTCACCTCTCATCATCATGCCCCCCAGTATCTCCGTAATCATCGTCGGCGCCGGCCTAGGCGGACTCGCCACGGCCATTGGGCTGCGCCGCGCCGGCCATCAGGTCACCGTCCTGGAGAAGGCGCCGGCTCTGGGAGAGGTAAGCTTTCCTCCCCACCCCGGCCTCACAAGTAGTGCCTGTCTAATAACTGCATGCATGCAGATAGGAGCCGGGATCAAGGTGCCGCCGAACTCAGGCCGGGTCTTCCGCGAATGGGGCCTTCAGGACGCGCTGGAGAAGATCTGCATCTGTCCGCAGGAGAACCAGATGCGGTCGTACCGCGACGGGGAGGTGCTGTCGACGATGCCGCTGGGTCGGAAGAGCATGGTGGAGGCGTACGGCATCCCCTACTACGTGGTGCACCGGGTGGACCTGCACCACCTGCTGGCGGAGGCGGCGCAGCGGGAGGGGGCGGTGATCGAGCTGGGGACGGAGGTGACGGGGGTGCGCGGCACGCCGGAGCAGGCCTTTGTGCAGCTGGCCGGCGGGGAAGAGCGGGCGGCGGACCTGGTGCTCGGGGCGGACGGGGAGCGGTCGCGCGTGCGCACCTCGCTGCTGGGCCACGAGTTCCCCTGGCGCGACAGCGGCGACCACGTCTTCCGCGCCACCGTGCCCCTGACGGCTCTGGAGGCCGACGAGCAGCTGCGCGCGCTCACCCGCGGCATCAACTGGTGGGTTGGCCCCCGCGGCAACGCCCTCACCTACCCGCTCAAGCGCGGCGGCCTGCTCAATATCGTCCTTACCCACGTCCATCCCCCGGATGCCACCGTGCAGTTCGCCCCGCAGCCCATCGCGAAGGAGACGGTGGCCGCCGAGTTCGCCGGCTGGGATCCCTTGTTCCATCGTCTGTTGGACCTGACTACCACCTGCGCGCGTTGGACCCTGCTGCACACCGATATGCCGTCCCAGTGGACGGGCGAGACGGGCAACATCGCCTTGCTTGGGGATGCCGCACACGCAGTCTTACCGTACCTGTGAGTTTCAACCCCTCCCTCCATTATCTCTGGGAGTCTACAAGCAAATGAACCCCCGGAGACTAACCACAAATCTCACGCAGCGCTCAAGGCGCAGCGCTCGCCTTCGAGGACGCCGCCGCGCTGAGCGTCCTCTTCGGTGCGATGCAAGACAAAGCGCAGATCCCCGATCTCCTGACCATTTTCGAGGCCATCCGCCAGCCCCGGGTGCGGGAGATGCGCCGCCGTGTCGGCATGGCGCGCGACATCTGGTCCCTGCCGGATGGGCCCCAGCAGCGCGAGCGGGACCGCCAGCTGCGGGAGCACGAGCACGATCCCTACGACGGATACCCGAACGTCCTGGCGGATCCCGCCCTTACACGGTGGATGTTCGGCTACGATGCGTTCGAGGCGGCGCGCGAGGCGGGGTGGAAATTTGCGAGGGGCCAGTTTCCCATGACTCGCGGGACGTGGAAGTTGAACCGGGAAAGCCGGGAGTAGATGCTGTATGATTAGAGTAATATCAATACCTTGGCTATATTTGTTTAGGATTCCGGGCTCGAGATTGTTTGTCCTTGTTTGAAAAGGATACAAGACCAAGTAGATTGGAGAGAGGATATTAGATTAACACAGTAAGACTTGGGGTTTGTGATATCTTGACTGGGAGCGGTCTGATAGAAGGACTTATCTTCGGCCGTTGTCTGGGGCCAAAAACGGGTGCTAGCCAGCCGGTCTGCATGAATGGCCCCATGCACCACCACTTGTCATATTATCTTCATGGTCGGTGGATTGGACTAGCCAGCTACTAGCTCCTATGCCACGCGACGCTAATAACGTCCGAAGAACAGGCTGCCGGGAATGTACGGAGAATACGATAAGACCCCAATCTGCACCAGCCTGTCGTATACATGCGGCGATGATGATACGCCGGGTCGAGATCATAGTTAACGAGGTATTGATATAGGTGTATACTTTGAGGGCAGGGATGCATGGCACTGCTCACACATGCCAGCTCGGTCATGTGTGCACATGGCCCCCCTGGCGTATATTAAGGCAACAGAGATTGCACCACATGGCACATTCATCCCTAGCAACAATGCAAGCCATGGCTTCGACCGAAACACAGACGCTCCTTACCCGCCTCACGGCGGTAAGCCAACGGGTGCCTGAGGAGCCCGCCGTGTCTGCCACCGAAACGCAGGCTCTCCTCGCCAATCTCGCGGCGTTGCGCCAAGAAGTGCCTGAGGATGATGATCTTCGTCGGCAACTGTCCCGTGCGCTGTCGCAGGCTCTGGTGGTAGTTGAGCGACCCTTGGAGACCGTCCACCGACTTTCTTTCGCAGTAGGTGCTGCCGTGCAGAATCGTTAGCGTTACTCTGACACAAAGACAGCCATTGCAATTGACGATGACCAAAGTCGGCATCGACCTGAACCTCTTCGAGATCCTCGTCTCGAAAGGCGAGCCAATGAGCCTGGTGGAGCTGAGCCAGGCCACCGGAGCAGACCCTGTGCTGATCGCGCGTATCCTTCGCTATCTGGCCGCCTTCCACCTGCTCGCTGAAACCGGAGTCGACCGGTTCCAGGCCACCCCAGTGACCCAGGCCCTCACCGTGCCGGGGTTTGCAGCGGGGATCAAGCACCAGTCAGTTCTGAGCCCCCGTCCCGTTATCTCGTGTCAGCACGACTCAAGACGACTCACGACTAATCTGATTGACCACAGTTTCGAGGTCCAACTGCCCGCCTGGGCGGCCCTTCCGGCCTTCCTCGCAGCCACAAACTATCAAACCCCCTCCGACCGGGAGCGCACGGCATTCCAGCAGGCCCACCAGACCGACCAGACGGTCTTCGCCTGGTTTATGGGAGGCAGCGCCCCACCACGACTGTTCGAGGAATTCAGTCTGTGGATGAGCGCCCAGCGCGTCGGGCAGCCCATCTGGCTAGACGTGTTCCCGCTGGAACGATTGCTTACTTCTGCCACTGCCGCTAAAGCAACGGCCCCCACTACCCCCACTACCCCCACAGCCACCAACTCAGCAGCAGCAGCAGCAGCAGCAACATCGGCATCACCGTCCCTCCCACCACCCCCCATCTTCGTCGACATTGGGGGCGGCGTCGGCCACCAGTGCGTGGAACTGCTGAAGCGGCTGCCCCAATTGCACGGGCGCGTGGTGCTGGAGGACCTCGCGCCCGTGGTGGCCAAGGCGCTGCCACACGCCGGGTTCGAGCGGCGGGCGCACGACTTCTGGACGCCGCAGCCGGTGGTCGGGGCGGGGTTCTACTATCTGCGCAACGTGCTGCACGACTACCCGGACGAGCAGTGCGTGCGGCTGCTGGGGCTGCAGCGGGCGGCGATGGGGGCCGGGTCGGTGGTGCTGGTGGACGAGATCGTCTGCCCGGCGCGCGGGGCGGGTCCCGCCGTGGTGGATATGGACATCACCCTGCTGGCGTGCCTGGCGGCGCAGGAGCGCACGCTGGCGCACTGGACCCGGCTGTTCCGGGCGGCGGGGCTGGCGCTGGTCGAGGTCGTGCCGTATGTGACGGAGGGGGGGCATAGTGTGATGGTGCTGGAGCGGTTGGCTGAGGGGGATGTATAGTGTACTTTGATTAGTGTATTCAGGATTGTGGTTCAGCTGACTGTACTGTATAGTGTATCTACTCGTATATGTACCTCGTACAGTAGTACTAATGATCAGTATGAAGGGAGTGGGCCATTTGCCGTGCCGTGCCTGAATGTTACACTGATACAGTACTGTACACAGTTTAACTAGTTCATAGGTCAATTATACAATCCCTGTATCCATACCATACCGTCCTCCACCCGAAGGAAGAAAAGGGCCCTTGCCGCGCACCGCGGAGGATGCGATGCATCCTGTTGGAATGAAATGGAAAGGATTTCCCCGAAGCTTAGCATTTGTCGCTACACAACTTAATGCGACTTGGCCGTTACAATGATGATCTTGGTAACACAGACATAATTTCTGCAGCCTTAAGACATCTGTGTACCCTGAGAGCTGTATTTCTGTCCGAAAGACAGGTCAGGATGAATTTAGTGCTTACGCCCCTTTCCTCATTCACCTAGCACGGCACTGGGGACCGCCTAGGGCTTACTCCGTATATTCTCACCTGGAATTCCCCCAATTGCAAGGCTGATTCCTATGGTACGACTCGCATCCGACTTGATTACTGATTCTGTGCGGTTGGTCTTACCGCTCCAGATGTCTCCAGCGAACAAAGAAACCGTGTGGCACAGTCGAAGTTGAAAAATTACCTGGGAAACGGCCCCCTCTCGTTACTATTATCGCATCGCATTAGTGCTGACCTGACCGGTGTCACCGCCAGACAACAACAACCCAGGGTTACATCGACGCGCTAACATGACACTATTCTCGCTAGATAGGTAGCTTACAGTGCTTTAGCAAGTTAGTACGAAGTCATTGTATTCACTCTCCCCGAGCGAAAGACCTGCCCAATGAAACGCATCAATTAAGCACAGCGCTCATCGCCGGTCTGTGTAGACTCCCCCTCCCCCACCGGGCGCGAACAAGCCCCCGCGACAGGGAGTGGATGATTCCATCTTGTACAGTACCTTAGCACCCATCTCCATGTCTAGCTAGCTAGAGCTGAATCTGAAAACGATCTGGGTTGGGGGGGTAAAAGGGTGCGATGAGATCGATCCAGTATAAAACCTCCACCTCAGCCAAATAATTTAACCCATCCCATCCCCACCGACCTTCCTCTCTCAATCCCCCTCCACCTTTCCATCTCCCATCTAACCCCCCACATCCACACCCTCAAAAGCAATCACAATGGCCGAAACCGTCGCCGAGGTAACAGCAGCCGTCAACGCCGCGCTGGCCAAACTCTCCCCGACCGACGAGATCCCCGACGCCGCGCGCTTCGGCCTCATCGATGCATTGGAGAAGCTCAAGGGCGCGGTCGAGCCCCCGATCGCGACGGTGCTGAACATTTGCTGGGCGGTGTGTTGCCAGCCCCTAAAGCCCCTACAAGCTTTCCTCGAAGGGAAATAAAATTCAATGTGATTGACATTGAATGGGGATTACTAACACATCCTGACTGAAAGGCCCACCCCCTGATCGCCCTCCGCATCGCCATCGGCATGGGCATCTTCGATGCCTTCGCCGCCGCCGGCCCGAGCGCCGAGTTGACGGCCGACGAGCTGAACGAGAAGACCAAGGGGGATAAGGATATGCTTGGTTCGTCTCTTTCTTTTCGGAGCACTTGATGAGAGGTCTGTGGAGGCATGAACTAATTCTGGTGTCCGAGACAGTCCGCATCATGCGCCTGCTGAGCGCCAACCGGCTGTTCACGGAGACGGCGGCGGAGAAGTACCAGGCGCAGCCGTTTGCGCTGGCGTTCGCGACGGGGGCGCCGCCTAGTGAGGTGATTAAGAATTTGTACGTATACATCTTTCTTGGGGGAGGCATACTAGCCCAGGGGAGTGGAAGGATACTGACTGGGAGCCATCAACCAGCCACATGATCCTACGGGCGACAGCATACACGCACGAGTTCCTGGCGGCCCGGGACTACACGAGCCCCGAGGACGCGTACGAGACGCCGTTCCAGCTCGCGTACAATACCCCGCTGCACCACTTCGAGTGGCTGGGCACGAACGCGGAGGAGCAGCATGCCTTCAACACGGTGATGGAGACGAGCAACCGCGCCGTCGAGGGGGAGCAGTGGTACGACTTCTACCCGTGGGCGGAGCGGCTTTCGGCGTCTTCGGACGCAGACCGCGTGCTGCTGGTGGACATCGGCGGCGGCAAGGGCCACGACCTGCAGCGGTTCCAGACCGCCCAGAGCCCGGGGCGGAAGCTGGTGCTGCAGGATCTGCCCAGCGTGATTGCCGATATCTCGGGGCCGTTGGGCGGTGCGATCGAGGCGGTTGGGTATAGCATGTTCGACGCGCAGCCCGTCCGCGGCGCCAAGGCGTACTACATGCGCACCGTGCTGCATGACTGGCCTGACAAGCAGGCCCTGCAGGCCCTGGCCCGTGTGCGGGAGGCAATGGCCCCGGATTCCGTGCTGTTGATCAACGAGAACACTATCCCCGAGACGGGCGTGCCTCGGTTCAATGCTAGTGTTGATCTGATCATGTTGTCTATGTTCTCGTCGCTGGAGCGCACGGATAAGCAGTGGCTGAGTCTGTTGGAGCGCGCCGGGTTCAAGGTCGTCAAGGTGTGGCGGGCTGAGAACCAGGGGACTGGGTCGAATGCGCTGTTTGAGGCAGTGCCGGTTTGAATTGTATAGCTAGGGTTCTAGAGCAGGGGTTTGCCTGTTAATTCAATTGGGTTGTTTTTGTTTCAATGAATGGAGAATAAAATTTATAGACCCAGCCTTGTTGCACGCTGCTTCATCGTGGGGTTGATGTTGGCCGTTAGTAGCCACTATGGTCTTGGGAATTTAGGGTCTACTGCAATCAGGCGGGAAACCATTCCTATAGAGTATGCCTATATCAAAAACCAGGTAAAGGCAGTTGAAGTGGACATTGCCCACCCTCCCCAACATTAGGCACTGCATCCGGCATTAGACTTGAGAGTGGGGAGATTTATCTATTCCACAAGAGAAAAAGAATAAAAGATTCAGAGAGAGAGACTGGTCAAGCCAATTGCCCAGAAGCCGTGAAGTCGAGAAGATAGTCCAGAACACATGGGAACAAGCCACTAGCAAACAGGCAGGTCTTCCTAGAAGGAGTACTACTGTACATAACCGACCCACGGTAACTCGGTTCTTCCACAGAAACGGATTCAAGTGCGTAAATTCCGGGCAGCAGGTAGCCAGCTTAAACGACCCAACGTACTGCACCCTATCTGGGCTTCCGTAAATCCGCCTATCAGTAGTCACAATACTACAATGACTGTAAGTAATCCTACTATCGTACCTAACCAACTCCGCACAAAAAACAACAACGTACAATCCCAATCCTTATATACAAAATATAATACACATACATCAAAATCAACCCAACCAACAGAAAAAAAGTGGTATAATCAACAGCGAACCCCAACAACAAACCCCCCTCACCCCCCGCCCTCCCTTCCCCCAAAGTTCAATTCACCCCCAACTCAAACCGGACTACCCACACTCGTCTCCGACTGCCTGGGCGACCCCCTCTCCCTCGAAGTTTGGGTAATCAACACCGTCTGCTGAATATTATTCTTCGTTGCCCCACCCTTCCCCCCATGGAAAATCAGATTCACCCCGTCATCCGCCTGGCCACCCCGCCCGCCCTTTTTCTTTTGGGTGTGCTTCTGCGCGCGCACGGAGGTCTTCACGAACCCGATGCGGTACGAGCCCGTCGACCCCGATCCTGTGTAGTTGCTGCTGCTGTGGTTGCTGGAGGGGCGGATGGGTTGGCCTTTGACTAAAAAATCCCAGATCGGTTTGGAGGGCGGGATGCATGCTGCGATGATGACGAGGGGAATCTCGAGGAAGGCCCAGAGGTAGAGGGCATAGCCGTCCCAGGTTGGGTCCGTGCCGGCCGTGGCGGGGATGAACTCGCTGGTTTTGATGCAGGCGCATATGCCTGCTCTTTCGGGGGGTTAGGGTTGGTGCACTGAGTTGGGGGGGGGGGGGGGGATAGGGATGGGGGCAGGGGGAGCGTACACGATACCCAGACTCAGAATGCAGAAGAGGACGATACGTTTATGGAGGCTGACTTTTAGGTCGATGATGAAGCTTAGCGGGAGGAGGGCGAGGACGAAGTCGAGGTATGCGCCGAAGGCTTTACTCTTGGGGTTAGCGGTTGCTTGGGTGCTTTGGGAGATGGCTTGGAGGGCCCGGGGAAGCTACCCGACTGCAACATGGTGATATCCGTGTTGATGCGCGCGTCTAAACACGTAGCCTGGCCCGAGGTGCGCAAGCTCATGTCCCAGAGCGCCTGGACGGGCTTGCACTGGCCGATCAGCATGCACAGGCTCAGCACGGTGAGGCAGAAGTACAGCACGATGTGCACGGTCAGGAACCACCGGCGCCACTTGGAGGTGCGGCCCGAGATGCGCATGATGAACAGCGCCACGCTGATCTTGCCGCACATCGCCGACAGCGCCGCCGGGAACTGGTTGATGATCTGCATCTTGCCGATGTACAGGATCTCCTCCGCGCTCAGGTAGGCCACATGTCGCGCCCCGCCCCGCAGCTCCATCGCCGTGCTCATCGCCGCCGCTGCTGTGTAGAGCATCTGTTTGGATCGTGTGGTTAGTGACTCGGTTCTTGGGTCTTTTGGGATGCTGAAAGGGGGCCTACCCATGCCACTAGGATCGTCCAGTCGTCATACCCGAGGTCCTTTCGCATGCCCCGACAGTAGAAGCGGGTCACGACCAGCCCTACCGTGAAGGGGAAGGGAATCCAGAAGCATAAGAGCAGGCTCACAGCCCGGTTCTCGTCGGGAGGCAGAGCCGCTGACATGGCGATGCGTTCGTTTTCCTCCGCAGTGCGAAGGAATCTAGGACGCTGAGTCTGGCTGCTTGTGGGGATCAGCGTGAGGCAGGGAATGCAGGGTGGGAGGGGAGGGGAGGGGACCGGGGGGGTAAGCCAGGTACATACACTTATAGTGGTAATGTCACGACGTGTCGACGACTGGCATGTTCTGCAGGGCGCAGTCAGGCCCGTCATCCCATATCAAGCACCTGCAGGGAACCAGTCATAAACAGATGGTTGCAGTTTGGCCCTCCGGTGCTCTGCGCTACCTGGATGGCTGCTGCAATGGTGGTTGGGGTCCATTCGGTGGCGGTCGGCCTGAGGCTGCCTCCTGCCCCGGGCCCCATCTGCCACCAACCAAGAAGTGGGTGGGTAACTGTTGGCGATCGGTGCGGATTGGTGTTCTCGCGTAATGATTGCGATTCGAGTGATTGCATAGTGGTGACGAAAGACGGTACTATAGCTTACTGACTTATAAGTGAGCTTACAGTAACCCAGGCCGAGAGAGGGGTGTTCACGCATCCAGTGCCAAACCTGCATGAGGTTGGCACGTGCCGTGTAGTATACGTGGGTCTCGCCCAAGATGTCAAGCTGCAGAACCCCGCTTGACCACGGGAGAGGGACCACGGGAGAGGAAAAACAAGCGTGTTGTCTGTGCGAGGATTGAGTGGCTTGACTCTTGGAATTCGGCCCCGGGCGGGCTGGATGGGTGAATATATGACTACCTAGCTAGGGTTATCTCCGGATTCCAGCCCCCGCTAGTTCAACTGTGATTCCTCTCGGTGTTTCACCACTGCTCAATTCACTGCAGTAAATTAGATGATCCCCCCAGAAGGAATCGATATTCATATCAATTCAGGCAGAGCCCGGCAATTGACCCAAGCTGAGAAACAGCACTGTTTTGATTGCCTAAGGGCACAGTAAGTAATTTGGGTTGATTTGTCAACCATCAATCAGCCGCCCCACCAATGCAGCCCCCATGTACTGCATAAGCAGTAGTAAGGACAGTATAGTACGTACAGTACACGTCATGTGTATGGAGGATGGAGCCATGCATGCATATATACTTGTAATATTATTGTACAGTACACTATCTCCTATGGTACTCTTTAATCTATCGACCAGACACATCTTTTTGGCCCCCAACACCCCCTCCCCCTCTTCTCTTCTTCTCTTCATCTTCTCTACCATTCACACCCCCGAGTCGATTTCATCCACAAACTCATGCCCGCTGAAGTAAGCCCAGTCGCGACACGTCTGGGCCATGGTCTTGGGAATCTGCAGGTTCTGGATCGCATCCGGCTGCTCCACCACGTTGATCAGCAAGCCCGCACTCACGTGGAAGGACATGTGGCAGTGCAGCGGCCAGGTGCCTGGGTTGTTGAGCTGCCACTCCAGGACCAGGTAAGCAGGGTCCTCGGCGTTGCCCGGCTGGAGGACCTGCGTGTCGCGGCTCTGGGGGTTGGCCGGGTTGGTGATGGTGCCGTCCCACGTGCCGCGGCCCTCGGCCAGCACCCAGAAGTTGTGGCCGTGCAGGTGCATGGGGTGCTGCATGGCGAAGACGTTGTAGATGACCAGGCGGATGGAGCTGTTGGCCCCGAGGTTGTAGATGTTCAGGTCCGGGCTCTCCGGGTAGGAGAAGTTGCCGGTGCGGCCCAGCAGCAGCAGCGGCGTGTTGTAGTTGGCCCGGAAGGTCGAGTTGTTCACGAAGAAGAGGTAGTTCCCCGAGGCGTTGACCCCCATCGTCACCTCGAGCGTCTCCGTCAGGGCCGGCGTCGCCGGCGGCGTCTGCGCGTAGTACGGCACCGTCGTGTTCAGTGGGTCGTTGCGGCAGTTGTTGCTCGCCCACGTCGCGGTCGACTCGCTGGTCGGCAAGGCTTGGGGGTTGGCCTGCTCGTAGTAGATCGCCGCCTGCACGGTTTCATACGTTGCGGTGTTGTTCAGGCAGTACATGTCCAGCGTGGCGCGCATCCAGTACGCGTCCGTCGGTTGGCCCGTGGCTTCGACGATCACGTCGGTGCGCTGGCCCACGCCCAGCGTCACCACCTCGGTCGTGTACGGCTGCACCGGCACGAAGTCGTTGGCGATCACCGTCATCGTGTGCCCGTCGATGCTGAACTTCTGGTTGGCGTTGGCCCCCGTGTTCAGCAGCCGCAGCCGGTGCTTCTTGCCCGAGGTGAAGTTGAACCGCGCGTAGCCCGTCCCCGTGCCGTTGGCCCCGTGGCCGTTGATCAGATTGTTGTCCACGTTGGGGAAGCTGGGCGGGATGGAGAGGATCTCCTCGAGCACCGAGTAGTAGTCGAGGTAGGTGTAGTCCGCGATCATCACCGGGCCCACGTCCAGGTCGTACTCGGCCCCAGGCTGCACGGGGCCGTGAATGATCATCGGCCCGTAGGCCCCGTCGGTGTACTGGGCGCTGAAGTGGGAGTGGTACCAGCTCGTGCCATACTGGTCGGCTTGGAAGCGGTAGGTGAAGCTGCCCCCGGGGATGATTGGACACTGCGTGACCCCCGGCACTCCGTCCTCCCACGGTGTCTTCTTCTGCGTCAATCCGTGCCAATGCAGGGTTGTGCCTTCTTCGTCGTCGTAGATCTCGTTGCGCACCGTCACCTCGATCATGTCCCCCCAGTTGGCCTCAATCATCGGACCGGGGAACTGCCCATTGATCAAAATGGCATCTTTGGAGACTCCGTCCGGCGCAACGGTCCCCCGCGCGATGGTGAAGTTGTAGTACCGCGTGACGCCCGTGTTAGGCGGGTCGCCCGAGGGAGACACGTCCGACCAGGGCGCGGTGGTAAGACAGGTCTGTCCACGTCGTTAGACGGTCTGAATCCGAGCGTGGATATCTCCGCTGATGGAGGGGCGGAAACAATGAGTGCATACCTTGTCTTTACGCCACGCGGGCAGATTGCGGGTAGGGAGAAGACCATAGGGATATCGCGCGACTGAAGAAGAAGTCGAAGTCTGAGCGGAGGCAACTGCTGCAGCCGCCGTCACCGTCGCAGTTCCAGCGACGAGTCCCAACGATTTCCAACTGAACAACATCTTTGATCAAGGGAAGAAAGGAAGACGAATTGAATGAAGCACAATTAAACACAATTGACCGCGTGGGGTGTCGTTAGGGCGCATTTATACCTTCACCGAGCGACTTTTTCTGCCTTCCCCATGGAAGGGACTATTGCACGACGCGCTGCAAACCCTTTGCCTCTAGTCTTTACTGGGGGATCAATCCTTCGAATGCCCCAGTCACCCTCATATTGATTTGGAGCCATCCATAATCAGGTGAGGTTCTCTGTCTGCCCGCTCGAATCTTAGGTAGTTTCGTAGTTAGTGTATCGCCCCCACGCCGTAGCCTGACGCAGTCAGACAATAGTTATGTAAAGATAGCCTCACCTCGGAGGAACCGACAGGCTAAGCGCCAGCCATGCCCCTTGGCGACAATTGTCTGAGATGAGGCGTTATATTGATCCGGCCACACGTGGAGACTAAAGTTGCCAGCCAGAAGCGATCTAAAATCTGACACATGTAACGCTTCGAAGCGCTTTCCCCTCGTCCCATTCGAAACGTGCCGCCATTTCCCGGGCGGTTCCGGATCGCTGCAGACTTGCTTTGTTGGGGCTAGCATCGAACTAAGTAGTAACTTACTGTTCGTACTGCTGTTCTTACCGCTATCCGTGCATTGACAGGTGGAAATTACGATGGCAGTGGCAGTAAGCGGACTGGCCTGCAGAAGCACGTTACGATCTCTCGTCATAGTCAGCATCGGCTCTGCAAATGAACCCTGCGTGTCGTTGATTGGATTCTGCGCTTTTTCTATCACTCTATCACTCTATCACTCTATCACTCTATCTACCTCGTGTCGGTTCTGCCATCGTGCCTTTCAAGACTACATATGTGACCAGGTCATTGGTTTCTGGATTTCAGCCCCCAAAGTAGGCTCAATACACCCTCACCCGCATCTTGTCTGGTTAGAGAAGACTATACAATGACTATACAATGACTATACAGTACTATGCTGAGCCGAGACGCTGTACATGTGTCCATGGCTTCTGATGAGGAGGCTCAATTGCTCGAGACCTGTTTCCTGCTGCTCGGGTTGACGGTCGACTGGCTTACTGGCCTCTCCATGGACATCTGAATACGAATGCCGTGCTCAGGGTATATAACTGACGTTCGGTCCCAGAAGAAGCCCTGAAGAACGGGCCAATTGACTGACTCAACTGAGGCAAATCTCATTCCATCCTTTTCATCCCTTCTCTCTTCCCTTCCCCTCATTTCCTCTTTGCTCACACACCAACGAGCAGAGCAATGCCAGTTTCAACCAAGGCAAGCAACGGCAGCGGGCCACCCACCCCCAGACCCAAGGGACCTCCTGCCCCCAGAATCCAGGACCAGCCGCTCAGCCTCACCAACCCAGCCAGCTGGATCCCCTACCTCCAACTGATGCGCCTCGACCGGCCGGCGGGGTTCATCGGCTTTTACATGCCCTCGATCCTGGGGCTTGTGTACGCCGCCAGTCTCGCGGGCCCCGAGACAGTACCGATGCGCCAGCTCCTCACACAGGGCATCTTCTGGCTGGTAGCCAACATCCTCATCCGGGGGGCGGCCTGCACGTGGAATGACAACCTTGACCAAGAGTACGACCGGCAGGTGGACCGGTGCCGGGGGCGGCCGATCGCGCGCGGGGCGGTGTCGACGCAGCAGGCGCACGTCTTCCTGGCGCTGCAGCTGGCGCTCCTGGGGCGACTGTTCCATCCTCTGCTCTCCTTCTCCTCGAAACAGACCCCGTCCGCCAACGCCGCCTACGCCGCCGCCGCCATGGGCGCCCTCTACGCCCTCTACCCCTTCTGCAAGCGCTTCACCCACTACCCGCAGGCCATCCTCGGCGTCCCGCTGGCCCTGGCCATCGTCCTGTCCGCCTACTCGGTTGTCGGTGATAGTCCCCAAGGAGAAGATGCCCGGAGCAAGCGAGGAGACCCCTTCCGCGACCGCCCCACCACCGCCGCCACCCTCGCCCTCGCCCTCGCCGAGATCCTCTGGACCATGATCTACGACACCATCTACGCCCACCAGGACCTGCAGGACGACCTCCGCGCCGGCGTCAAGTCCATGGCCGTCCGCTTTCGTCACTCCACCAAGCCCCTCTGCGCCGCGTTGGGGGTGGGCCAGGTCGCTTTGCTTGCCTGCGCCGGCGTCTGGACTCACATGCCCCCCGTGTACTTTGTCGTTGGCGTTGCGGGGTCCGCTGTTGCGCTGGTCGTCATGCTGGTCTCGGTGGATCTGGCGGTGCCCGCTAGCTGCGCTCGCTGGTTCAAGTTGGGGTTCTGTTTTGTGGGTGGCTGCATGAATTGCGGGTTCTTCGCGGCTTATTTGGTGAGGTGGTTTGGCTGGGCGTGAGGGGAGCGGGTATGTGGGGTTGGTCAGGGTGTACAGGGGGAGAAGGTGGGTTTTATGGTGAAGAAGAATTTCAGGGGGGGCTTTTTGTTTATTGACGCTGCGTTTGGAGAAGGAGAGGGGAGGATGGATGCTGAAGATGTTTTGGGGACGGGGCGTATACTGTGAGAATGGGAAGCAGGGATCAAGCTGGGTGAGGACTGAAGAGACTTACTGGTCGGGTAACGCCCACTGCACGTCTGCTAGCTCTGTATATAGTCGATGTGTAAACGATAAAGCGACATGAGGTCCTATCGTATCATCTAACCTGAGACTCTCGATATCTTCCGTCCCTGGTTGATAGCGCTGTCGAGGACATGAGGTAGTAGCTAAACCGGCGTCTCCATGGGTTATCACCATGAAGCACTATGCGAAGTGAATATTAAGTGCAAAAAAGTGCTTTAGTGTCCATTCACCATCAGGATATTGTCCAGTATATGTGAGTGGGGCACAAACTGTCACTGTTCTACAGTCGAGATGGTGGCTCGGAACTCCGTGATGCCGATGCCGATGCCGATTCCGCACCCCAGCATCAGCTAAATCCTCGTCTTGTCCACAACCTCACTATGTCTATCAAACCATCTTCTTCTAGGTACTATATCACTGATATCATATCTGATGCCACCCCTGCGCCGCAAAAATGGCCGCGAGCCCGCATGCGAGCCCTGTCGCCGACGCAAGCTCGCCTGCGACCACGAACTGCCCGGCTGTCGCCGGTGCGAACGCCTGTCGATGAAGTGCGTCTACCTCGCCAATCCGTTGACCAAAACAAAGTCTGCCAGCAATGACACAGTCGAGCCGTCACCAGACTCAAGCATAGGCATTCCGAGCATTCCGAGCGATAGCAGCGCGATGCCGAGCGCGAAGACCTGCCCCGGCGCGCAGTCCACCACGCCGATCCTCGAGAGCTCCGCCGAGTATCTGGGGCCGGCGAGCTTCACCTCGGTGTTCGTGGAGCACCGCGAACGCTTCGAGGTCGATCACACACTCGCCAGCCCCGCTGCCGCTGGCGGTGGTAGTGGTCACACAGTCCCCAACCCACCGTCGCCGATCCAGCCCGCCACGATCCCGATCATCACGCCGCGCCTGCTCCAACTCGGCGTGCAGATCCTGCGGAACGTTCCCGACGAAGAAACGTGCAACCAGCTCTTTGTGCGCTGCGAAGTCTCCATGGACTCGTGCTTCCGCTTGGCCAATTGGCAGGCGTCCAAGCTGACCTGGGACGCGTATCGGCCGGTGCTGCGGGCACGCACCCCCGAGCATCTGCACACCCTCGCGCGGCGGCTGGCAGAGTGCACGCTCGTCCCGCTGCCCGCGGAGCAGGACCCGGAGCGCTGGGTGGAGTCGTTCTCCGGCCGGAAGGCGCGGTGGGAACTCATCGGCGTGCTGTTTACGTACTGGTCGTATGGGTGTGTGTCCCTGGCACCGGACAGTCCGGCGATCGCGTCCTACTGCGCGGGCCGGGCGATGAAGGGCGCCAAGGAGATGATGCTTCACTTCAAGAAATGCGCGTCCATGTGCATTGAGATGTGCAGCGAGCTGGGAGGGGTCAATGTGCTTTTCTTGCATTTGCTGTACAAGCATAATATCTTGGAGAGCAATGTGAGTGGAGACAAGAGTGGGTGGCTTTTTTTTTATCTTTTCATTCTAGTCTTTCTTCTCATTCTAGGGGTCGGAAGTGATGGTTTGCTGACGGTAGTAGGTCTCTCTTGCTGGCGACAACACGGCGATACCATCGCCGTGACCACCTCCATCGGGCTTCATCGCGAGCCATCTTCGGAGTGGAACGAGGTCTCATTCCAGCATGAGCTGAAAAGGCGTCTCTATTCGGCGATCTTCGCGTTCGACAAAGTCGCCTCCACCCTGACGGGTCGGCCGCCGCTCCTGAGTCGCAGATATTCAACTACCCAGCTACCGTTGGACATCAGCGACCATGATATTCTGTCTGGTAATGTGAGGAGCGCCGCTGCGAAGCTGGATTCCGACGGGTGGGACCGCAATAGCGGTAGGAAATTCACCCAGGCTGCGATCCTGCGCGCGCGGGCCTTGTTCGCGAGGAACCGCGAGGAGATCTTGGAGGTTTTGGAGTCTTCGCTGGACGAGATCTCCGACTCGGCTATCGAGACATGCTTGTGAGTCGCAGCGAACACTTACCGTGGGTTTCAACTGACTGAAAATAGCAATCTCAAGGCTCAGGCCTCTGCCATCTATGATAAGCTGCCCGAAAGTCTCATCCACAAAGTGGAAGATATCGACGATCTCGATATACCGGGGCATTGTCTACATACCCGGATCCTCGTGCGATTAGAGTACCTGCTGAATCAGTTCCTACTAGAAAGACTCCTGACGCGTCACAAGATCGTCACCGAGCAGGCGCTCATCGGGGTCAGCCAGGAGACGCTGTCTCTCACGTTGCTCTACTGGAAACACAAGGACCGATTCATGGCCCTTCACAACGATTTCTCATGGCTGGTAAGTACTACCCCGTGGGTTCTCACCTGTCCTCGTGCGCGTACTGATCGGCAACGAAGGCGATGTCGTACGGCGCGCCGTGTAGTGGAATCCTCTGTCTCGAGCTGCTACGCCAGGCGTCCCACCCCCAGGCTTACAACTTGGACCTGCCTCGCTCGGCAACAATTCAGAACCTAAGCCTGTTCGTGGCGTTTCTGGATTGGCTCAAACCCTGCGGCTCGGATATCTCCGCCAAGACCCAGATCAAGAGCATCCTGCAACGCTCGCTCGATCGCATCCTCGCCATGCCGGCGTCACTGTGTAGCCCTGCGACGGCCATGGACAATTTCGGCATGCACGACTTTATCGGCGCGGAGTATCCGCATCTGGAGCTGTTGAACACGTTCAATTGGGTGGACTGGGATGGGGGGATGTAGCTTGGCCAACATCGGCACTACCTGCTGTCTAAGGTGTATCTCTATGCTCTACATCTAGATTCTAGATTTTCCAACTTCCGAAGCACAAAAAGGGCGACATCATCCGGACTCCATCACTGTACAACTGGATCAAGATGGGGTTGATCCAGATCGGGACCGTCCACAGCATGAACAGCGCCACCCAGACATAACCGATCATCCTCTTGACACCGGGATTCATCCTCGCCCGTAGTGGCCGGGTGAGATCCCGCGCAATGCTCTCAATGACGACCCCGACGATCTGCAGACAGAAGAACCACAAGGCGCCGCTCTTGGCCATCGGCACCCCGAACCCCACATCCATGAAGAGATGAATGACCCCTGACACCGTGAACGCAAGCAGAGCCCGGAGGGTCCACCCCAGTCGTCCGCTCGGCGATATCCGCAGCAGAGAGAGCAGAAAGTCCGCGTTGGAGGTCAGTAGTTGGCGGAAGGTCTGATGCCACGTTATCCTGTTGTCATATTAGCAATGCCCTGCCCTGCCATGCTCTGCCATGACCTAACGCCCCGGAAGGGACAGTCAAAAGATAAGGGGCCCCGGGGGGGAAGCGACGAAAAGAAAACATACCCCCAAAACCGCCTAACCGACCAACCCTCCCACAACGACCCAGCAACCGGCGGCCACATCACCGGCTCATACAGGCCCAACGCGACCGCCACGATGGCGCCCACATTATACGAAGCGATGATCGTGGCGCGACCCACGATCCCAAACGAGAGACAAAACAGCGCCCGCAGCAGCATCCTCCGCCACACCCCATCCCAGCCCGCCGGGGTATCAGCAAACGCGAATGGCAAAAGCGCCTCCCTCGCCTCCGGCAGCAACGCCACCGCCTGACCCAGATTCGCATCCGCGGTCTCCATCGTACACCCCTGGATCACCGCCACCGCAACGACAACCTTCACCACGGCACCGACCAAGAACCGTGCCCGGGACGGCACATACCCCGGCACCGCGGCGTCAAACCGCGGCAGATGCCGGATCTCCCAGGGCGTGTCGATGCGCCGGTAGTTGAAGGCGATGCTGAGGGCCCAGCGCAGTCGGGAGACCCATTCTTTGGAGGTTGAGTCTTTCGGTGTGGGTGGTGGGTGGGGTGGTTGCACCTGCAGCTTCGCCACCGACCCATCCACCGACCGCGCGTACTTGGCGAATTCCCACAGCTTCTGCGCCTCGAACGACACCCGGCTCAGCACGAGCAGGTCCACCGCGTTCAGCACGTTCACCCACCCCATCGAGATCAGCGGCGCGCCGAACCGCGTGCCCGCGTAGTGGAGCTGCGCGCTGCGCTGCATGGAGTAGGCCAGCGCGAGGAGGAGGAGGGCGGTGGCGGGGCGCGCGGGGGCGCGCGGCGCGGTGAAGGCCACGACGAGGCCGGCGAGGGGCTGGATGAGGAGCCATTGTATGAGGGGGGTAGGGGTGGGCCAGTTGGGGGGGAGGGTGGACATTGTCCCCGTGTAGAACAGTTGCGAAGAGGGGGAAGAGGGGGGTGAGGGGGGTGAAGATTACTGTGAGGCTGAAGCTGAAGCTGAAGTGTGAGCACCATGGACTACGGAGAAGGCTGTGGGCTTTATGGTCGTGCGATATGCAGGTGTGACTAAGCTCCATGGGCATTGCATTTTAACTTATCTTTGGTAGACTAGATTGAAATCGGCTAGGCAAGAAGCGGTGTGGATCCTTGTAGTGAAGGATCTTGTTCATTCGCCGATACAGGCTGGGGCTGCTGTCGATCACTCAATTACCCCTATCGGCGATAGTGAAGCCTTCGCCGCGATGGCTGCCAGATTGCCCAGGCTGCAAGGGGCTAGAACCATGCTCACATTTGATTGGACAGCGGCTTAGACCTAACACAATCCCCTGGAAAACTCAATTCACCACGCTGGCATGCATCAACTGCTGCCACCAAAACTTGCTGTGAAAGAAAAGTAAAAAAAGAACTCCGATGCGGGGAATCGAACCCCGAGCTGCTGTGGTATCTCAATGAGAGACAGCGATGTTAGCCATTACACCACATCGGAAATTGTGGGCTGCATCATCCGTGAATCGAACACGGGCCTCATCGATGGCAACGATGAATTCTACCACTAGACCAATGATGCTGTTGATGGGTTGTGATCTAGAACTTGGTTATTCAAGCCAAGAAGCGGCTGGCGAGTATCTGTGTATTGGGATTTGATTGCTTAACTTTGATTTGTGGTTAGGGGGGAGAGTGCTTTTCTTTATTTGGGGAAATATGACCAGTTAATAAGTCCTCTTTCTCCTTTTCTAATCTGGCCAGAATCTATCCCTTGGAGAGTTGGAGTGTATTCTTGATCCAGGATAGTCAGCCCAGGCGGAAGATATATTTCAGTTCCTGCGGGTGTTCAGAAGATCCCGACTGACTAGCAGAGTTCATGCTACATCGCGTCCAGACCCTAGCTTTGACCGGGGTCATCTGTTCCACCAAGCCCTCTAGGGTTAGATCTTCATTTGCTCCCAGTCTAATCAGATCGACAAAGATGGAGCAGTGCGGGTTGAGGTACACTACACACGGGAACCACATAATCGTCTCAATTGATATACATTTTTAGTACTAAGCTCATCACCAGTCGGATACGACCCTAAAGCAATTGCTAAATACACTGCACACCTCTGGTTCAAAACAGGAACAAAGCCGCCAATCCAGCGACCAGCATGCCAACGCTCCCCGAGACACCAACGGCCGGAGCAGCGCCCGTGAACAAGGCGCCTGCTGCTCCCGCGGTGGTGGAACCGTGGACAGATGAAGAAGGAGAGTGGTTAGCGATGCTGGAGCTGGCTGCGCCGGGCGAGCTGCTGTTGGTCTTGGAGCCAAATGACCAGGTAGACTCTGCACCTGCAGCGGCGTGAGAGGAGCCCTGGGTTGTGGGTTCCGGCTGGCCCGGGAAAGCAGTGGCATCGGGTTGGATGACGGTGGTGATGGTGGCGGTGGTTGTCTCGCCGCCGGCGGTGTATACCACGGTCACGAGGGTGGTTTTCGGTCCGGCGGGTATGGATGCGGCGATGGCGTCGACGTCGGTTGGGGAACCCTTTGTGGCGTCGTTTGCATTTGCTGGGTGGTTGGAGCTGGATGCTGTGGACGCGGAGTTGGGGGTTGCATGCTCGGATGAGTTTTGGGTGTTGGGTTCGGTAGTTTTGGCATTGTTGTTGCTGCTGCTGCTGCTGCCGCCGCCGCTGGCTGGGTATGTCGTTTGGCTGGCGCCGGATGTAGAGCCTGCTGCGGAGTCAGGGACTGAGCCCTGGGAATTCGGGTGCGTGCTCTCGGAAGACTCATCCGTGCTGCTGCTGCTGCTAGCCTGGCCAGCAGTCTCAGCTGATCCAGACCCAGATCCCGAAGCAGAAGAGGGGCGTCTCCCCCGACCTTCTCCGATGCTCCCACCTCCAGAAGCCGACTGGCCCTCATCCTGCCCGCTGGACCCCGTCGCACCGCTCTGAACGCCTGAAGCATGACCAAGAACGTCGACACCAGCCGTGGTAACAGGTTGCACTCCCGATGCCGGCACAGTTGTAGTACCACCGGCCGAGGGAGCGGCGTAAGCGTCGTCGCCAGCCGCAACAGTGGGTCGTCCACCGGCCACCGATACGACTGTGGTGGCCACGGCTTCGACTTGGGTCGTGATGTAGGTGGTGCGCGCAGAGGCGGGGCAGTTCTTGACGGTCGAAGGACACGCGGTCACCGTGTAGGTCAGGGTGCGCTCCACCGTGGAGTAGACGGGTACTTGGTTGTTGGAGCTGGCGTCGGCGTAGCTGGAGGTGTTTTGGTTACCGGAGCTGCCATGGCTGTCTGAGCTGCTCTGACTACCGGAGCCATTCTTACTGCCCTCGCCGCCGTGTCCAGCAGTAGCAACCGGCACCTGGGTCTCCGTAGCCGTGACCGGACAGATGGTCGTGTACGCCACCAACGTCTCCGTAGTCACATAGGTCGTATGCTGCGAGGCCGGGCAGTTGGTGACCGACGTCGGACACGCGGTGACGGTGGCAGTGCGGGTGGTGAAAACAGTCGAGGTGGTGGATTGCGGGCCCGAGCCCTGCACGTTGGCCGGCGCAGTGGGCTCAGCGTTGGCAGTGACGGGACAGATCGTAGTTCCGACCACCACTGTCTCCGTGGTCAGGTAGGTGGTGCGCTGACGAGCCGGGCAGTTGGTCACGGTCTCCGGACAGGCAGTCACCGTTGTGGTACGTGTACTAAGGATGGTCGAGGTGGTCACCGCGCCTGCGTCAGACGATGGTCTGGGTCCCTGGGAGATTGAGTTGGGCTGTGAAGTGGGGCTCAGGGAGACAGGCTCGCTGACGCTGGTTTGAGTGGCAAGCGACGGGTGCGTGGATACTGCATTTGAGGAACGGATTGGGCTGGAATGAGGTCGGACGGAAGAAGGAATGGCGCTGGAGGGTGGCTGGGGGATGGTTGCGCGGGAGGATGGGATCAGCTGAGATGATGCAGGTCCGGACGGGACAGACACTCGGGTGTTGGAGCGAGTTGCAGACGACGGTTGGATCAGGGGTCTGGACGAGCTCGACAATGCAGCAGATGACGCCGCAGGAGTCGCCGACGATGCAGCGGGCGACGACACCACAGGCGTTACAGCGGAAGACATGGCAGGCGACGACACGGCTGGAGACACCGACTGAGGTGAAACCGCTATAGATGACACCACGGGGGCCGAGGCAGACGATACTACAGCAGATGGTACCGAGGGAGTGGATACCGCAGCAGATGACACCACAGGCGACACCACAGCAGACGACACAGGCGCGACAACACTCGGGGCGGGCGTCACGATCTCGACCGACGAGCTCAGCGACGTCGGAGTAGGGGTCGCGGTCGGGGTGACCAGACTGCTAGTGCAGGTCTCGGTCTGATAGGCAATGGAGATTCCATCCAGGTAGAGAGTCGGTTCACCACTCGAACACATAACGTAGAAGTAGGGCCAGGTGACGGAGCTGCCCGCCCCCTGGTACTTGGTCACGTCCATGGACACATACTTCCACTCAGTCACGTCCTGGGTCACGTAGCCCGAGACCAACGGATACTGCTCGTTATTATCGAAACTGGCGACGAACTGGCACGACGAGGCTCCGTTCAAGTAGAGCTGGTAGTAGAACGAAGTCGTCCACGTGTTGGTGGGAGGGAAGCCATTCCGGTTGCTGGACACTGACAACACGGTTTGCTGGCTGCCACTGTACATAAGGCCCGCCGTGATCTCTCTGAAGTTTATGATTAGCGGGAGCCTGTTCGTTGAAGAGTCACAAGACACGGCCAAGCTCACAGAAAGTATTCTCCCTCGGGAGCAGTGTCGGACTTCACCACCGATACCGAAGATCCGGCGGTATCCCAATATTGGGTGTTGCCCGTTTCGAAGCCGCCATTGAGCGCATAATTGGCGGTCGTCTCGCTGCAGACGGTGACATATTCGGCCAGAGTGGGGGCCACCGCCAGCAGGAAAGGAATGAAGGACTGCTTCATGTTGAGGTATAAAAATGCGTCGAAAATAAAGAAGAAATCAAAGAGTGACGCAGATCATTGCCGATCGAAGAAAGAATGGACGAAGCGCAACCGGCCTCAATGTCGACGACGGAGGAAAAGCAAGAACAAGGGTACAGGGGAGACTCTTAAAGTACTGTACAAACAAACTCTCTCCGGGGAGTGGAACAAATGTGTAGAGCTGATGATGGCCAGCATTAGCCCACCGATTCCAGTTCCATTGGTAGGGAAGGATCTGTGAATTCAATAGTAGATCGTAAAGTCGGCGTCTAGGGTTAGTTTAGCCGACATGCGAGGTGGCGTGCACCAGGAACGGTCAAGGGACCCGACGGCCGAAGGCTTGGCTGATCGAGACCCCTGATCGCATGGTGAATAATCGGAGTCGCCGAAACCAGGAGTGAGAATGGATGCGATTTCCTTTCTATTTCGAAGAGTTAGTAAGTTGGATGATGGTGGACTAGGGGTCAGGTGACATCCTCGCTACATGACTCCATTCACTAGCCACACTGCAATGCCTCGAGAAGAGTGGAATCATATTTCATCAAGCTGGAAAAAAACCGGCTAGATTACCAGTAACCTGATTGTCAGGAATCGAGGGTTAATGCTACCTGGTCATGGGGTCCACCCTTAAAATAGCTCCCATGCAAGCAGATTTGACAAGATAGGCTCAGCGCTAGTACAGGCCATTGACAACGCAGGAACATCACATCTTGTGCAATGAATACATTAATAGACTTATCATGACTTGAATTTGTCACGACAATCGGTCTCGTGTATCTCTGCAATGGTGAGACGAAATTCATATACAAAAGATTCACTACTGTTGCCATTGAAAGGCTGCGAGTGCGAATAGCTGAGTTATATATGCCTAGAGAAGCCACCAACACTCTTTCTACATTCCACCAGTAACCAGCAGATAGAACCCCGAACGGGAAGACTAAGACCGCACAGCCCATAACCAAAAATCACAAAAAGATGGAGCTGCGGGGAATCGAACCCCGGACCTCTCCCATGCTAAGGGAATATTATACCACTAAACCACAGCCCCATGTGTTGAAAATCGGGTCCAAAGTATGCTACATGTTACTAGTTCCATGCTGCAGTCGTTGCTGGGTAAGTTGGCAGAGCAGAACGGCGGCCATCCATGGCCACTTCACCGGTGGATCGACCTCAACCAGTAGATCAACCGTTGGACCCAAGCACCCACCCATGCCTGTCTAACGCTAGAGTACGACTGCGCAGATTTCGATCAAAGCCATAGCATATACACATTCGCATCAAGCGAATTTTCCAACCTCAGGTTTCAATTTGAGCATCCATGAAGTATCAAGCTTTCAGGTATACAATCACTCGCTAAACTAGGGCTCTGACACCTACATGCCTCCCATCACCAGTCCAACCATTCACCAATCCTCTCGCCCTTACGCAAGGATCTTCCTGAACAACGGATCCTGCAGCAGTGTCTCCGAATCCCCCATCTTCAAAGTGACGCACACCTCCCACAGCGCAGTCGCACGGTCCCGGCCCCCACCACCAGACATCCGCGCCGGGAGAAAGATACATCCCCCCGGCACCAGAGCCAGCCCCGGTTCGAAATCCTCAATATATCCTAGCCCCGTCCCAAAGTCCAGGGAATAGGTGTTGAGATCCCGCCAGCTCGTCACAATAATCCCCGGCGGGTCTACCTTCGACCGTCGTCCAGTCTTCGTGGTCGGCCACGACGGCCGAGGCGCTGTACGCCACCGTCTCGTCCATCGCGGACAGTCGGGTGCGCACTCTTAAGGCTAGCTGCGCGAGGCGGCGGAGATCTCTCTCCTCGTCTGTCGTGGCGTGACCCTCTGCTGAGATGAGGGGCTTCGGTGGGTCGATTGTGTCGTGGATGGGGAAGATCATGTTCCCCACGTATATATCTGGGAAGCGAGGATGCACGCGGTTGCGCAGGTTGACGGCCATGAGGAAGTCCGCTGGTTCAGGTGTGGTGGGAGTGATAATGGGGATTGATGCTCGCTCTGGATGAAGCACGCGGTCGACGCAGAGGGCCAGCGTTGCGGTGATGATGTCGTTGCTGGAGATCCAGCTTGCAGTTGTCGCGGATAGGAACTGAAGCTGCTCCACGCAGAGGTCTTTCAGCTGCGCTACCTTGTGTGGATCGAAGGTGTACCGGTTGGTCTCGACCACGAAGGCCAGCGCGGACTCCATCGCGTTCCACTGCTCCGTAGAGGTGTTGGGGTCGAAGACGGGCGGGCCCAGTTCGACGCTGTGGTCGAGACGGGTCTTGCACTGGGCTGGGAAGCTGGAGACGTGGTTGCGGAGGGTGATGTGTGTCGCTGCGATGATCTGGGCGAGAGGGGTCTCGGTTTGGTCCGTGCTAAACTGGCAACACTCAGCGAGGGCTTCGAGGATCACGCCGGCTCCCGTGCCGTCGAAGACGTTGTGCCAGAAGGACATGGCCAGGACGAGCTTGCTGGGGAAGACATTGGCCTGGAAGCGGAGCACGGGTCTCTGCACCGAGGCGGGAATGAACGTGGGGAGGGCCAGGTACGCTTGCACTGGGTGCAATCATAGCTCCTCGTCTTGGTCGAAGTACTTCACCTGTAGCATGGAGACTTGAGAAGGAGGGACCTGCGGTGGCGCGATGTGCATGCGACCCTTCGGCCCATCAGGTGTTTGATGAGAGACCACATCGCCCGCCAGCCAAGGCAGTTGCGAAACGAGCTTGCCAATGCCACCCTTGAGAGTCAAGAGCGCAGTTTGTGGGTCGGGTGTATCAAAGTACAAGATGAATGGCAGGAAGAGTTTGGCGGGAATATGATCGAGAGGGCTCAGGGCCACAGGATCAGCACTGGATACGCTGGGCATGATGAAAGCTGTAAGACTCAACCTGAATAGCAGCAGTCTTGTGGGCGAATTTCCCACAAGGCGTTCGATGCGGGAATAGGCATATTGTATCCTGCGATCAACCCCTGACGGACAGTGGGCTCTCAATTCCACCCCATCCCCAAGGAGAGCCCGTATGGGCTAATTGATGCATTTGAGGGGAATGCGCCATTTGACAAGGATGCTTGTTTGTTTGACACAGCCGAACACAATGGACTCACCATCAAGGACAAATCAAGGGCGATAGCCCATGTCATGTCTTGCTAATTGGATCCACAGCCGACCACAGTTAATAACGGGTTAACATATGACCTCCTGACGCCGGTGCTAACAGCGCGCTTGTTTGACCCATCCAGGGACTGAGTGGGTCGTGGTGGGCACTCAGTGTCAAGGCGTCAGCCCTAAAATGAACCGGCTGGCTTAGCGTCAGAATGGCAGGTTTGCATGCCTGCTAGTACTAGGGACGGTGCGGTTGCTTACGCAGACCCTTGCAAATGTTTTATTTGTGCTTCGATGAGGGTTTTAATGAACTAATATCGCTTGACTGGAAAAACGTTGAAGTGGCCTTGGTCGGAGTCCGGTCAACATTGTGCTGGTTTCCGTCTCCCCCCCTTCTGAATCCTATAACTAGGATTGTTCAGCAAGCCTGAACAATCCACAGGACAACTATCATGAGGAGACTATGGCCGACACAAATGTCGCTCCGTCGCAATTACCGGATCATACGCCGCTGATGGTGCACACCGTGAGGGGTGTGATCGGGACGTGTGCTGTTCTCGCATTGGTGGTCTGCTGCCTGAGGGTATGTCGGTCTGCGCTACTTACACGAAACCTGGAACCCCAACTAACTTCACGGATCATAACATATAGCTCTATGTTCGCAGATGTGTTATACGTGCTTTTGGACTGGATGACTACTTGGTTCTCCTTGCCCTGGTATGCATCGAAATTCTCCACCAGACAACCCAAGACCAATGTTCTGACCGTACAAGCAAAGGTAATGGTTCTAGCTTTCGCGGCGCTATCACTTATCTTGACCCGGTATGCAATCGGGTACCACCAGAATACTGTTCCCGCCGCAAACATGATCATAATGGCAAAGGTCAGAGATTCATCCATCCAAAAGCTATAGACCAAGCCAGGCTGCTTACCTTCACCATCAGTACGTTTACGTTCTCTTTTGCCTGTATCTCTGGGTCGCCTTGGCAGTCAAATGCAGCCTGACCATCTTCATCATGCGCATCTTCCCCACGCCAAAGATCCGCCGCATTGGACTGATGATAATGGCACTCATGACCATTGTGACCGTGTCCGGCGAGCTGCCTTTGATCCTACAGTGCTGGCCCGTCCGGGCAACCTGGGACAAGACGCTCCCGGACTACAAATGCTTCTCCGATGCCGTGCTGGAGAACCTCCAGCTCTACCAAGCCATCCTGATGCCCCTGTTCGACCTGATGATCATCGGCCTCCCAATGCCAACAATCTGGAGGCTGCAGATGCCCATCCAGCGCCGTCTGTTCATTATTGGGATCCTCTGTCTCGGTAAGAAGACACTTCTCCCTTCTTCCCATTCAAATTCTTTCTCCCCTAAAGACTGACTAAATCACAGGACTCGTCGCATGCGCCGCCGGTCTCGCACGTATCCCACTTCTGGGGTTTCAAGAGAACTCCACAGACTATACTTGTAACGTCCACCCCTTCCCCAAGCCCAGTTGCATATGATAGCCTAACACCGCTGCGCTAGACGTCGGCGCCGTCCCACTCATCCTCATGAACCTCGAGTACGCACTGGGCGTGATCACCGGATCACTGCCTTCGCTCCGCGTCTTAGTCCGATTCATACCCGGCCTCAACAGCAGCAAGAGAAGCACGTATCCAACTCAGGAATGGGATCTGAGTGAGCAGGCCGAGTGTCGACTCGAGGGCCGACCGCGATGGATGCATCCATTACGAGGCTGCGACGCGAAGAGCATCGAGAGCGAGAGTCAGCAGCATATCTTGGAGGTACAGAAAAGTCCTCGCCCCCTGGAAACTGCGGATTGCGGGTGATAGCGTTTTCAGGGGCGGGGGCGCATTCATAGACTTTGTTGAAGAGCACCAGATCCAGCAGTATACTGTAATATGTGTTGCTGGGCACAGGACTATAATTTTGAGTCATGGGAACAGTTAGACGGTAAGCTGTAAGATACACCCCCAAGTAGATCAAAAATCTGTGATAAGCTGATGAAACGAATCTAGGGTGTCAGACATATATGCTCAAAGAAAAAGCAGGCTGTGTATCTCCTCTTCCACCACCATACAACACCACCAACACCAGGCCCCATTTACCAAAACACTACTCCGAAACAACTACACCCCCCCTCAGCCCCGCCAACTCCTTCCGCATAAACGCCGCATAAAACACGACCTCATCCCCGGCGACCCCGACCTCCCTCCACCTCGGCTCCTCCTTCCACAACACATACCCGCGCCGCGCATACCACCACTGATTGCACCCCATGACGGGCGGCTCGGCGCCCGTGCGGGCCCACACCCCGGTCCCCTCGGGCGACTCATCCAGATAATGGCGCTCGCTCAGCGTCGTCAGCGCCAGCCACCGGCACTGCGTCTCGGTGGTGGCCGCCAGCGCCTCGACGAGGTCCATGGCGCGGCTGCCCAGCCCCAGGCCTCGGTACGCCGGGAGGATGAAGAGGGTCTGGATGGTGAGGACGGCGCGGTCGGCGCGGGCGAGTTCCTCGTCTGCGGGGTCGCTGTACGCGTCTAGTGAGATGTGGCCGGCGTAGACTACTTTTTTTTCCTCACTGGCTTCTGTGGAGGGGGTTGCTGGGGCTGCTGCTGCTGTAGGGTCCGGGATGCAGAGCCAGTAGAACCTCTTCAGGCCTTCGTCTTGCTTGCGCTTCCAGCTTTCTAGCTTGGGGAGGTCGTGGTCCCAGCCGCAGATCTGGCGTTGGCGGTGGATCTCGGCGAAGTCGGCGGGCGAGTGCAGGTTGATTGGGGCGAGGTGGCAGGGGGGTGTGGCGGTATTCATTTTGTTGGTTTCTTTTTTGTAGTGCATCATGTGGTGAATGACGTTTTGTGGGGATGTGTTGTGGAGAGGAGTTGATTTTTGATGGTTTGGGGTGAGCGGAGGAGTCACTGATAAGGGAGGCTCTGTGGCACTAGTGCTTACGTGCTTAACGGTTTTGATTGAAGATTGAGGCAGAAACATAAAGGGAATAAGTAAGACACGCTAATATTGATTAGGTTACGGGGGAGATGTCTAGACGAATTAGCTCCCTCTTCACAGCACAATGCCGATGATTTTATGCGCTAAAAAACATTACCACAATTATTATACGGAACTTGATCCTTTGGAAGAACCTTTTCACCACGTCGCCGTCACGAAAATATGCGCCAGCTATGAGCTGCTATAAAAGGATCCAGTACTGGTCTTGTCATCAGAGAATAATATCTCTTTCTCGTGCTTCCCCAAAATGGTCAAGTCACGACGACGACCATCTGTCGACAGCCACCTGCATCAGTCTCGCCGTGTATTCCACCTGCGCATGTCATTAGAGATCACACTGAAAACAAAAACAAAAGCGCAACTTACCACCTCCGGATCCATCAGCGTATCGTGATGCGCATGGTCGATGACATGACACTCGACGTTCTCCTCCCCGACCATCTCCGCCCAACCCCCGGGGCCCATCGACTCCCGCGGCGTCTGCAGCCATTCCTGGCTGGTGCGCGCCTGCGTCTCGGGGCCACACCGCCGCAGTATCTCGTCTGCCTCCACCAGTACGGTGGGCAGTCGATCGGGATCACCGTGGCCCGCCCAGATCACGAAGATCCGGACCGGAGTGGAATCCTCGCTGGCCGTGCGCATCGGGCGGGGCGAGTATTTCAGTTTCGCCCGGACCGAGGCCAGACTGTGCTGTCGCCGGTACGATGGAATCTCCATGTCGGGCTTGCCGGCGCGTCGGATCGCTGGGTAGAAGCCGACGATCTCCAGGAGCTTGACCGTGGGCTCCAGGACGTGCGGGTCTGGACGCGGCAGCGGCATGTCCAGGTTGATGATGCCCAGGACATGCTGGCCCTGCTGCCGGAGCTGGTAGGCCTCCTCGTAGGCGAGGATCGCGCCCATCGACCAGCCCCCTAGCAGATAGGGGCCCTCGGGCTGCAGTTTTCGGATCGTCTTGACGTACAGCGCGGCGGCCTCTTCGACTGTCCAGGTGGCGTCGGACTTGCTCATGAGGAATGGAGAGCCCAGCGCGTAGACGGCTAGGTCGTTGGCGAATTTCGGGAGCGGCTCGTACGAGAAGGCGTATCCGGAGCCGGGTGGGGTCATGAACAGAGAGGGGACGCCGGGTTTGGGAGTACCTTGGATGAGGGTGGAGAAGCATTCGCGGGGTGTTTCTTGGCTGGCGGAGTCGATTTCGAGAAGGCTGGATGGGTCGGTGGAGGATTGTAGACGCTCAATGAGCTCGCCGATGGTGTTGGGGGTGAAGAAGAGGGATGATGGGAGAGACACGCCTGTTTCCTGTCGGATCTGGTTGAGCAGCGCAATTGAGGTGATGGAGTCAATTCCGAGGTCAATCATTCGCATGGTCGGGTCGATATCCTCGCCCTTTGCGGAGGCAATGGCTGCTAACAGGGATTCTATGAGCTGTAAGTTGGGATGTGACTCGAGTGTTTCCTGGCCGCTTGCTTCGATCGCTTCCATCTCCTCTGCGACCGTGTCAGCTGCCAACCAGTCTGATAATGCGACGCTGCTGGCCATATCCTTCCAGATCTGTGTCTTGATCGATTCGAGAAAGCGAACGTCGGCATATGCTGCTAGATTGACATTCACATCCATCATCGTCGCATCGTTGAGTCCCGATGCTTGAGCCCAGGCTTGCTTCAGCCTTGATTCAAGCATCGCACGACTGTACAATCTACTGCGCGCTTGAGACTTCTGGGCTGTCCAGTAAGCCTCGACCAGCTCGGTCAGTTTCGACTTCTGGACCTTGCCCGCAAGGGTCCGGGGATAATCATCCAGCCCTAAGTCCGACACCGGAATCACCCCTGCCGGGACAAAGAGAGCCCCCATCTTTGTGCGGACAGTATCTTTGAGCTGGCGGGCCATCTGCTCGTCGACATCCGTCCGCACTACCGCAACAGGCACCTCACCAGCGACCTGATCCGGTGCTCGGACGATCTGTGGCTCAAGCACATGGAACTCCGCCGTCTTGCCCAGCACCGCCTCAATGGCCGCGGGCTCGATATTCTCACCCCCTCGAATGATCGTGTCGTTATACCTTCCCACCAGATACAGCCGCCCATCCTCCCCGACGACCGCTTTGTCCCCCGTGCAGAACCACCGCCGGCCGTCCTCGCCGGTGTAGAACTTCTCATCGTCTCTGTTCCCAATATACCCATCTATCAAACTGGGCCCGGAGAAATGCACTTCCCCAACGTCTCCCATCGCGACAGGGACTCGTCCGCCTTTGGCACAGACACGCACCCTCGCGCCGGGCAACGGCCGCCCAATCGAGACATCGCGGCCCGAAATCACCTCGTCGACGCTCTCCGCCGCGTCCGTCGACACGACAATTCCCTCGGTCATGCCGTAGAAGTTCTCCACTGCTTGCGCCCCGAGATGGCTCAGACAGATGCGGAGCACCTCCTCCGTCGGCGGCGCTCCGGCCAGGACCACCCGTTTCAGGGAATGCAGCTTCTGTGCCGGCGTGACCGCCACGCCACTCAGAGCATGCAGCATGGTGGGCACCAGCGCGGTGTGCGTACAACGTTCCTGGCGGATCGTCTCGATCAGTCGCTCCGGGGCGAACGCTTCGCCTGGGAAGACGACGGTGGCGGCATTGAGGAACGCAGCCATGAGGAACATATACCCGAAGGCGTGGTTGTTGGGCAGCACGACGGCGACGCGATCGCCGGGGAGCATGGGCCGGTTGGGGCTCGCTCGCCAGGCGCGGGCGACCGTCGTGGGGACGGCAGATGGCTGCACGAAGCAGCCTTTGGGCAGGGAGGTGGTGCCGCTCGTGAAGAAGATGGATGATTCCTGCTGTTGCTGGTGTGGCTGCTCCAGGGAGTCATCCGACAGACGACTACCATCGTCAGAAGGTTGGCTGACATCAGACCGACGGTCCTCGTCCTCGTCCTCGTCCCGTTCCTCCTCCGCCAGCTGCACATCCTTCCCACCTGGCTTCGTGAAATGCATCAGCTCCTCAAAGCCAACCCACCCATCCCTAACCCCTACCTCTCCCGCCGATATCGCAACCAAGCAGCACTCGACCTGCAGCTGCAACCCCCGAACCAATTCCGCAACCCGCTCCAACCCAGCAGCCGCAGCAGCAACAACCACCACCGAATCGGGCTGACACGCCCCCACCGCCGTAGCAAGCATATGCACCGCCTCCCTCTCATGCCCCAGACACTTCGGACTCAACGGCACATGCACGCACCCAATCCGGTACGCCGCCCACGTCGCGACCACGTATTCCGCTGTATTCGTCGCAAACAGCACCATCAGCGACCCCCTCCCGACCCCGCGGCGTCGGAGATTCGTCGCGAATCGCTCGATCTTCTCGTCGAGTTGCGCGTAGGTCCAGCGCAAGCCCTCTGCACTGGGCTTTTGTGGCGTTGTCGTCGAAGACGCTTCATCTTGGACGGTATAGAGGCTCGCGGGCTGGTGGGGACCGACCAGCGCGAGCGTGTCTGGGTGATCGCGGACGTTCTGTCGGAATTGTTGGGTTAGGGAGGGGAAGGAGTTTGCGAAAAGCAGAGGGGGCCCGGTTAGGGAGCTGGGTTGGGCCATTTCCTCTTTTGTGGGCGGGGTTCTCTTAGGAGGGTAGTGGGTGGTGAGGAGATGTTGCTCTTGGGGGTTGGGAGGATTAAAAGCCGGACTGAAGGAGGTAGGTAGGTCTGCTTGAGGGTGCTGGAAGCCTGGGTCTACCGGGCGCGACTTTCCTTCCCTGAACCACGTGCAAAATACTCATACATGAGTACAGTACACACGGAAGCAGCGATGTGGGGAGGGGGTGGGATGGAGTCTAAATGGGATTTCCGCGATGTAGTCGACCTAATCAGTTAGACTTAGCTGGACTCATCTACGGAGCACATGGTTCATCAACTACCGGACCACTGGGGCATGCAGGGTTGTCAAAGTGAAACGATCTGCAGTGAGGACTCACTGTGTACGAGTTTGTGACGAGAGGGTTGTTGACTAACTGACCTAGACTAACTAACCCCTATGGGTAAGTAGTGATATAGTGATTGAGAGAGGTGGGTCTTGGGGTTTCTATTCGGCGCCTCGGTCCCAGGAGCAAAAGACTTAGACTTGCAACATCGAGGCAGCGATGCACCATTTTCCCGTCCATGCTTAATCTTCAATGCTGAAGAGTATCCTACATGCGTATTGGACCAACGTAACAAGATAGAGCACCACATGTTGTATGTAGTACAAAATAAAAGCAAAATCCCCCCCCCAGATCCCAACGTCAACAAAAGGAATGAGAACGCAGCCCGACCCAAAATCAAGGCCGGACACCTACATACTGTACGTAGTGACGGAGAACTCCCTACAAATTGACCAACCCCAAGATCGACCTCCAAACAACCAGATCCGTCCGATTCTCCCGAGAGCTGAAAAGTGGATCCCCGAAAGAGGCCTGCTTGCCGCGCATTTGTGATACGGGTATTTTACACATACGCCCGCCACAGGCCCACCACGCCCCCCTCTTCACAGAACCCCGAAGAGTGATCGGCCGTCATGCAGATGCATCACCTCCCCTCGTCTTCAGCTTGATGAGAAGGGACAGCATCATGATGCATATCATGGCCCAGAATTGCTTGCTGTCAGCGTAGTAAGAAGGACGCAGCTTGAGGGCTACCTGAGCCCACGCCACGGACCAGAGCTTTTGACGCTAGACTTGCATCATCGTCACTGCATCATCGTCACTAATCGTGTCAGTGCACTGCAGCAACCCCCTTTCCCCTTTGCTGTTCCTTTTTCCGAGAAAGTTAAGAAGGTTAGATATGATATGACGTAAGAGAAATTCAAGATTCGAACCATGGACAAACCAGCCCGACTCCACGGGTAGATCCAGATCGACCAATCAACAGCAAAAAGTGGGGGGGGGATGCCCGATCTCTTCCATCGCTTCGGGTGTTTAACTTCGTATCGTATCGACCGTAGAAGAATTTCGCAGTTCTAGCCCAGGAAGCGGTGTAGGTTTCTATTCTGGAACAACGCCGAAATTGAAATCAAAGGATCATGCTTTTTAACTTCCCCGTCAGAGCTATGGACAATTTGACATTACATATTACTCGTACCCGGTACTTCAGGTTGTTCTTATCACTGAGACGATTCCGATGATGGCGGGGTGAACTGGAGGGAAGCTCCTCACACCTCGACCCTCTCCTTCTTCGGGAACAGCACGATCATCCCCACAATCGCGGAAAGGATTAGAGCGGACGCTAAATGCTGATTGTCAGAATAACTCTTTACTAGAAAAGGGCATTGGGGGGCAAGCATACCAGGAATAATCCGATAAGCCTCGATAAAACTCTCCTGCACGGCCAGCTGAATCCCGCGCGGCAGCGTGGTGGTGAAATTATAATCCTGAACGATATGCTCGATCAACTTCCCCATGGCATCTGAGTTAGCAGTCCCATCTCGTCCATACACACAGTGGAAAGGAACCACATACCTCCCGCTTCCCCGTGACCTCCCCCAACCCCACGGCCACCCGCGCCCGAAACACCCGCTGCAGCGCGGCGGCGCTGACGCTCGTCCCCACGATCTGGCCCACCTGCTGCGAGAGGTGGTACACGGCGATGGCGCTGGCCAGCTGCTCCGCGGGCGCCCGGATTGTCAGCGCGATGAACTGCGCCGACAGAAAGAGGCCGCCGCCGATGCCCCAGGGGAAGCAGTACAGGACTTCAAGGGGCTGGATCCCGTGCAGCCAGCGGAGGACCATTAGGGTTAGCGAGACGAGGGTGATGAGGAGGGCGATGAGGGAGAGTCTGCGGGATTGGAGGTTTCTGTGGTCGCGTTTTGTTAGGGTTGTGGTGGCGAATGGTGTGGTAGGACTCGGTGGGTGCTCACCTGCTGAGGGCTTTGCCGGCGATGATGGAGCCGGAGATTAGACCTAGGGCTGCAGGCCAGATGCGGATTGCGATGGCGGAGTTGGAGAGGTGGTCGATTCGGTAGAGGTAGGCGGGTAGGTTGTTCAAGATCTGTGGGAGTGGTTTAGAGTCAATTTTTGGGGGGGGAAATGGTGGTAGGGATCGGGGATAAACTCACGGTGGTGACGGTCGCGAAGTAGATAACCTGACCACCGAAAATCGCCCCAAGCCCTGGGGAACAGACAATCGAAGGGGGGATGATGGGGTGGTTGGTCCCGAGCCGCTCAATCAGCATAAACACCATGAGAAAGATCCCCGATACAGCGAGCAAAGCTGGAGTCTGAGACGAGAGGTAGGCGATTCCCCCCTCGGTGGTCGCTAGGATGAAAGACGTGACCAGGATGAAAAAGCTTACCACCCCAAAGTAGTCGAAGTTCCACAGACTCAGGTGCTTGGTTGAGTGTGTCTCAGTGGCGGGGGTAGTTGAGAACTGCCATTGCGCGAGAGCCAAACAGAGCATCGCGATGGGGGTTTGACCGATCAAAGACCTGCGTCTTAGTGTCAGTCCAGTCACTGGAGTTGATTCAGCCCAAGGCTCAGAGCCTACCATCTCCAGCCGACCAGGTCGGCGACTAGCGCCCCCAAAGGTCCTCCACAGCCCTGGCCGACGATACCAGCTGCGATGATGTAGCTTCGCACTGATGCGACTTCCGTGATGTCGAACATTTCTTAGGTTCCCCGTCAGCATCGCCTCGTACCCCGGTATGACGAGATTTACCGTTCACCAGAACCGAGAGGAGATCGGTCATGCCTGCACCGCCCATCCCTGAGACCAAGCGACCCAAAACAAAGGGCCATAGGGTATCGGAGATGCCACTGTTGATTCCAGCATGAGTTCAGGCCCATATCCAATAACAGAGTCTCGATGAACGACGTACGAGATCAAACATCCAACCGCGAATAGGCCGTACGCCGAAAGCAGGAATCGTCGACAACCGTAGATGTCGCTCAGGAAGCCATACTAGATCGAGTTCCGTCAGCCTTCATCCTTGGTAGTGAAGTTGCAGAGGGCCACAAACCACCGGCAATGCGATGCAGAATCCCACATTGTAGATGACCAGCAGCAGCGACGCACTGGACGGCGAATGCAGCGATGAGGCGATCTCGCCTTGAGTCGCCAACAGAATGGACTTATCTGCGCTCGCAAGGAAGACACCTGCGGTGCGATCTCCAGTCAGCTTGAAGGTTATCACGGATTCAGACATCACGCACCAACTAAGCCCGCCAAAATCCTACTGAAGTAGCCTTTGCCGGTGGGCGGACGGTCGCTTTTGCCCAACAACGGAGTCTGTTCATGCGCCATGCTGGTGTGAATTCGACGAAAGCGAAACCATGAGAAGCAGAAGTGAGCACAGACGGAATGACGTCCGAATTATCACTGCGCCGTCTGAGCTCCAAAGCTGAGTCGGGCAAGGCTCGGTCCCCTCGGGCAGGGAAAGTTAGGGCACATCAACTAAATTGCTCATAAACGGAAATGGGCAATGCGCCGGACGATCGCCAAGCCACTTCATGCAGCCAAGGCAATAGTTCATGATCATCGTGTCACAATCCTGTCACAATCGGTGTCACACTGTCAATCTGGGACACAAATCCTCCGATTGTTTACCGCTAGAGCCGACAGACCCACCGGAGTGGATCGATCGCGATGCAGCTTGATGCAGCTTGACGACAGCCGATCCTCGATACATGCCGCATACGCTGTCAGAAACAAGAGAGCAAGTGCGATCTGCAGCAAAAGGGGCCGTGTCTGCACGCTGCAGAATCACTCACTTTCTAACCATGTACTCTCACTCTCACTCTCACTCACTCAGTATAATTCTATTATAAGCCCAAAGGGTCTGCTGGTGGAAGATCTTCATCTTCCACTTTACTTGTCTACGTAAATTTACCACAATTAGCCCGCTTTCTACGGGACATTCAAAGACAAAATGAATTTCCTGTCGCGGTCACTGACCACTCCGCCAGCGACGGCAGTAACAACCACGCCCTCGCCCGCAGTCGTGATTCTCACGCAGTTCCAACAAGAACACCCGGACATCAAATTCCTGCGCTGGCAATGGCAGGACTACTCGGGCGTGCAGCGGGCGCGCGTGGTCCTGCTAGACACCGCCATCGCCCAACTGGCCGAGGGCAAACCCATGAAAGCGACCGGGCTGGCGCTGACCTGCTCCGTCGACAACCACCTCATCCCCGGCACCCCGACCGACGCGCAGTTCTGGCTCGTGCCGGACTGGACGACGCTGCATCCGACCATCAGCCCGGGGAGCGCGCAGGTGCTCTGCTCGCTGGACTACACCCTGCCGGGGCAACCGATGACGCAGGCGCTGTGCCCCCGTCATACGCTATCTCGGGTGCTCGAACAGGCCCAGACGCGGTGGGACCTCTCCTTCCTCGTGGGATTTGAAGTCGAGTTCGTGATCATGAAGCCGCACCCCGAGACCGGCAAGATGGAGCGCTACAGCCGGGGATGGGGACTGTTCTCGGTCGCGGGGCTACGCGACCCGTGCTACACGCACGTCGAGCAGTGCGTGCTGCAGCTGCAGGCGCGCGGGGTCGACATCCAGGCGATCCACACCGAGGGCGTCCGGGGCCAGTACGAGTTCGCGCTGGGACCGAAACCGCCCCTGCAGGCGGTCGACCAGCTGCTGCTGGTGCACGGCTACCTGAAGGACACCTTCGCGCCGCTGGGGTGCGCCGTCACCATGGTCCCCAAGCCCGTGGCGGGCGACCCGCTGGCCAACGGCCAACACACCCATCTCTCGCTACAGCCGAACCCCGCGCCGGAGCTTGAGGCGTCGTTCCTCGCGGGCATGCTGAAGCGGCTCCCCGCGCTTTCTGCGTTTTGTCTGCCCCAGGATGTCTCGTACGAGCGGCTCAAGCCGTTTGTCGGCGGCGCCGATGCCGTAGGCTGGGGCACCGAGTGTCGGCTCACGCCGGTCCGCAAGCTCGAGCCCGGGCGGTGGGAGATCCGCTGCGTCGACGCCATGGCCAATATGTATCTCACGCTGGCGGCGGTCATCGGGGCCGGGTTGCTGGGGTTGGAGGGCCGAGAGCCTCTGGTCTGGCCGGATCTGGGGGATCCGGTGAATGCGAACGCGGACCCCGGAGAGCCGCTGCCCAAGAAGTTAGAGGAAGCGCTGGACGTGCTGCACGCGGATGCGGACGGGCTAGCGAACGTGATCGGGAAAAGAATTATTGATCTGTATGTGGCGACGAAACGGTTCGAGGTGGCTTCGCTGGCGAAGCTGGATCCGGAGGAGGTGAGGGGGTTGTTTGTTGAGTTGTTCTAGATGACGCGGGCCGTCTTTTTCATGATGAAGTTTATCCTAATATAATGGTCGAAGATGTGTTTCGTGCTATTGTGGAAGTGGACTAGTAAACAGTATCAGCTCAAGATCTTCTGATAGCCGCTGCAAAATATATAACACTGACCCGCCAGGCTTTTATCTCCACGAGAGGTGTCCTGTCTTGCTCATGATTAGCGCAATGAGGCTAAATATCCAGCAGAATAATGACCCTATATTACCGATTTATCCAACCCCCCCTTTTTTCTTCCTCTCGCAAATTTTGTACCCTCTTCACCCATCTGGACTCGGGCGAGGCTTGAACCTTTTTGACCCTCGGCTCATTTTACAGGTAGCTTGTTGTTCTAGGGCCATAAGACAAAGTAGAGGAGGTCACATCAAGTAACCAGCATCATTGGTCTAGTGGTAGAATTCATCGTTGCCATCGATGAGGCCCGTGTTCGATTCACGGATGATGCACTCACTTTTTGTATTTTTTTCCGTCCCTCTCTGGCAACAGAGACAACCAGCCGCATAACTGCCACCTTTTATTCCTCACACCCGAATCACCACTCCTTTTTGCATGTGTCTCCCCGCAGTCTACCGGGCGGCAAGAATTGCCATCATTGCCATCAGCATGACCCATGTTTCGTCCAATGTTACTGGCAGTCGATGTACAGCACATACAGCATACTCCGCATCTCCCACCCGATGACATCCTCACCCCATGCATCCGCATCGACAATGACATGACCTAATACTCCAATCCAAGAGGTGGTCGTTCCTCATCAGACACGCCAAACCACCGCGCAAACCCAAGCCCCTCTCTCCCAAGAATCAACCCAACAAACCCCCTGCCCAGCACTGTATTTCACATTACCGAACAACAAACTCCCACTCCACCTCCCCCGGCTCCTTCCAATACCCCGTCCCACTCCGCCGAAACCCCAACTTCTCCAACGCCCTCGCACTCCGCACATTCGGCCTCTCCGTCTCCGCAATAAACCTCCTCACGCCGCGCGCCTCCACCGCCCACCGCATCACCGCCCCCGCCGCCTCCGCCGCGATCCCCTTGCCCCAATGCCCCGGCGCCACCCCGTAGCGCACCTCGACCATCTCCTCCCATGGCGGAAGGGGCGGATCCCCGGCCTCGCGGGCGGGGATCGAGGTCGTCGTGCCGTCGCGGACGCCGGCGTAACCTACCCACTCGATTGCATCCAAATCAGTGGGAAGACTGGTGAAGTCATCGCCTGTTAGGATGGTGATATCGGTGCTGGAGGTGGATTCCGCGGAAATGGGGATGGGGAGGGCGGACGGGCGCAGTCCCACGGCGCAGTCGCCCATCCCGCGGACGCGCCAGCAGCGCGCGATGTCGCCGGTTTGGATCACCTCTCGGGTTTCCGGGTCGGTCCATTGGCGGACCGGGAAGTGGGCGCCGAAGCCCATTGTGCAGAAGTCGGGGTTGGCGTGGAGGGAGGCGTACAACTTGCGGTAGGTGGGGGAGGAGATCGCGATTGGGGTGGGGAGGATTATGAGTCGGGGGGTTAGGATGGCGAAGGGGGCCCAGGGATGGTTGGGTGGTTCTGGAGGATTCATTTTGGGGTTGGATGGATGTATATGGGACTATTGGTAATTAGGTGGTTGAGGTAGGGTGCAGTGAAGAAAAGAGCCCTGAGGAGGTTGAAAACAGCCTGGTCGAACAGGGTCAATGTTCTGGAAACCAGCCTATTATGGATTAGCGGGGGTTCGGGGACGGGCCGGCCAACAAAGTGTCTGTGTCAGTCTTGTGTCAGTGTTCAGTGTTCATTCGCACTTCAGCCTAGAGGGCACTGCATCCATGCCGCGCGTTCCGAACCATCCATCAGATCTTATTCGGCGTTGCAATCACCACATCCCCGCGATGACGTCAACAAGGCCCATGGCTGCGGAGATACAGCCGGGGACATCAACCCATATCTCTACTTAAGGCAGCACGTTATCTGATTTACGTCATGCCTTGGGTACTCCTCACGGGTATAAAGAATTCGTTGAATGGCAGGTCGAACGCCTCGCTAGCCAAGAAATCATAAGTCCAAACCTACCATCAAACCGAGACTCTCTCCAAAAAGATATACTACCACACAAACCAACCTCCACCATGTCAAGCTTTCTGCACAAAGCCGAAGACGCCCTGCACCTGCACCACAACAAACACCCCTCCCAGGACCACGACCACCACCATGCTCAAGCACCCGAGCAGCCACAGCAACACCACCCACAACAACAACCCCACGATCCCAGGGCCCCTGCGCCGCCAGCCGTAGCCCACGAAGGTTCGACATTCCATCCCCTTGCTCCTTTACTTACCCGACTAATTTTTTTTGGTTGACCCAGGCACCCACCACGACCACAACCACCACGGCAAACGCGAGTCCCACCACCCCAGCCCCGCCGAGATCGCTCGCGCGGATTTCATGGCCGACCGGCAGTACGACCGGATCTTGAAGTCGCCGGACCACGGCGCGGGGATCGGGTTTGAGATGTGAGAATCTGGTCAAAAAAGAGATGTAGGAGGATTAGTCATTGGCCATGAAAGCGAGTCTTTGAGTGTGGAAATATGAATAATGGATAATGAATGGAATATGTTTCTTTGTGTCGTGGTTGTAATGCCCTGGTCTTGGCGCGCCGACTAGGGGCTTTGGGGTCGGTTAGTAATCACTTTATCGAGGACAAGCTCCGCCAAGTCGGGTTTATTTGGGCAGTCGGTAGGGATGAAGTGGGGTGGGATGTATACATTATTTGCTCTATTGTAGGTATGGGGTAGGGTAAGTGTTTATTGTTAGGATGCTACTGGGTTGGCCAGTTGGGTGTGTGACTATCCTACAGTAGAGTGATCAAAATACCATCTGCGATAGCAACACCCAGGAGACAGACGAGGAGAAAAGAAGAAAAGCTATGAAAAGAAAAGAAAAAAAAATCTCATTCTCAACTATACGTATGTACAGAGATACATAATATGTACTGCAACGAAAATAAACAGACACCCAGTGGAGTTATCCACATTCCCACACATTTACATCCCTCTTCCAGGGAATCAATTTCAAGAACTCCTGAGCCACCAATGCAAAAACTTCTCTCCGCTGGCGGCGTGCAATCCAGGCACGCTCCATACCTTTGCCAGCCAGCCACCTTCATCCCACTTTACAAACACAGACACATCAATCACAAACCGTACATAAACTTCCTCACGGCTGACCCCACACGGCTGCATCAAATCGACCCCGACCGGTACGGCCAGAAATACCTCGCGATCGCGCGCCACCCCTCCTCCCCGGACCGGCGATTATACTCCAACCCCTTCGTCTCAAGGGTGGTCTCGGCCGCGCGCTCGGGGGTGCGCGCGAACCCACGGAACTGGGCGAGGATCTCGCGGATCCGGGGGCCCTCGGTCAGCGTGGAGAAGATGGTCTGCTCGTAGGAGCCGCGGAGCCCCAGCGGCAGGATGCCGTGGCACGGGTGGTGGGCGTAGAACTGCACCTTGTCGCCCTGGACGATGCCGGCGAAGGAGAAGCGCGGGGCGCGGGCGTCGTTGCGCGGCCACAGCGACATCAGCATCGGCCAGTCGGTGCCCTTGAAGGCGCTCTGGCCCGCGATCAGCGTCAGGTGCGTCCCCGTGCACGCGCTGTGCACCGTCAGCGTGTCGTACCCGCGCGCCTCGAACTGCCCGCCGTGCGCCAGCGAGTCGTGCACCACCGGGCTGTCCGGCTTCACCACGAACCCCTCGTGCACCGGGAAGTACTGCATCAGGAGCGCTTGCCACGCGGACCGCGGGGAGGAGTGTTGCTGTCGGTACGGCCAGTAGCCGTAGTGCGGGGTCCGCGTGAGGCCGTAGCATTCCATTTGTGCCGGAATTGAATGGTTAGGTTTGGGATAGGGTTGGTGGTGGTTGTGGTTGTGGTTGTAGCGCAGGGCTAAGTGTATTTGTGGGAGGTAGTGTTAGCCTGAGAGAAGCAGTTCAGATAAGGGGGTCACCTTCTGTTTGCTTGTTCTTGTTCTTGTTCTTCGTATTCTGAGTTTATGATTGGATCTGTTGGGGCGTAGGACTACCGTCACGGTGGGTTTACAAGGTTGTTCGTAAGCCATAAGCGTTGCGAGTAATGAGCTGATAAGAGGGGGGAAAGGGGAAGGGGCCGAAGGAGCTGGGCTCAATGAAATATTTATAGGTTTGGGTGAGGCAGAGCCTGAAGAGTCATCGTTCTTCTTTGTTTGCATCGATTTTGACGGCTTTGCAAGTCCTCGTGGTGGTGTTGAACTGAGGCTTGTCGTGGCTTTGATGTATATAGGAGATCTCCGGCACTCAGCGCCGGGAGCGATAAAGCCTCTTTTCAAGGTGGATCGAGGACAAAGATATTGTATGAATCAGCTGGTTAAAACAAGAGTATCTTTAGTATCTTTTATTAGTTGTTACTGATGGAATTACCTTCATTCAGAGTATGAAAACAGCGACGACAGGGTCACTCGTGCTTTGCATAGGTGCTGGCCATGTGTGAAGGTGTGGAGGTGAGAAGGTGTGAGAGAGAGAGAGGGCTTCTTTGTTCGACTCCCGACTCCACCCACAACAATGCCATTGTTCATTGTCCACGCTCCGCCTGGCCCATCGACGCCAAAGCATCTTTTATCAGCGCCTGTGTGCTTCGCCGCACCAAGTGAACCCCGAAGGAGTTGATCGTATTTTTCCAGCCAGACCAGCGCGCCCGGTTGAAAGCCTTGGGCTCTTCAGCCTCCGGCTCATCCACTTGGTCCCCGGCCACGCAGGTGTCCCACATGCGCTTCCCCGCCAGGGCGAACCAGAAGCACGCGGCGCGGACCGCCTCTTCCTCCAGCGCGTTGACGTCGGCGTTCTCGCACGCGCGGGCGCACAGCCGAAGTCCCAACCGGGAGAAGTCCATGCGATGGCCGAGCCGCGGGCTGGCGTTCGTCAGCTGGGCGATAAAGCAGTTGCGATTCTCCCACTCCTGCACCTCCTGCGGCGGATAGTCTCGACAGTGATCACCGCAGGGCGTGCGGTTCTCCATCCCCGTACACCGGCAAGTGGGGAATCCCTTGAACACGTCCAGTGGGGCGAAAGTGTACCGGTGGTTGATGTATTCGCGGAGGCAGGGGAGATCGGTCCACATCCGGTCGGCGAACGCCACTCTCACGATGCCGTCGCGCCCGGCTGAGTCGTGCACCGTCGTCCGTTGCAGCCGCACGACCAGGTCCAGCAGCTTGGTCTGCTCGTCGGGAGGGAGGAGATAGGCGAGCTCGCACAGCGACTGCATCGTGTGGAATGCATGCTGCTGGTTGAGCCGGTTTCGCACGTAGGGCCGGTGGGAATTCCGCCCCTGCTGGAACTGGCTGTTGCGCTCCTGCAGGAGTTCCTGGATGGCCTCCGCCGCGGTCTTGTCGGGGTTGTTGACCAGCGCGTGGATGATCCAGAACTCCCGGCGTTGCGTGAGCCGCCTTCCAAACCCGTACTCCCGGATTCGACCTGCCATGATTCCGTCCATGATACCAGTCGTAGCAGAGGTTGTGATTGGAGACACAGTAGGGGTGGGGGGTTACCTTATGAGGATGATGGACTAAATTGTCGCAGCGGTGGGTGGCTTATATAGATGTCTCCATCCTCAATATCATCTATGCTGAGTAGACAAACTCAACAAAGGGGATGGTCTGTCTTTGTTGCTTGCACTCGATAGGAGAAAATCGTCACTCTGTCATGGAGTACTTCTCTCAGAGATCGCTAGACAAAAGGCATGCCACGTGAATCATACCTACCTAAGATCATTGTACGGTGGAGACTTAGCCATTTAGGTGCAACCAGACCAACCATGGGTGGGGCTGATGTCCACTGTTGGACGCAGAATAAGGGATACTGCTTGTTTCTGGGACTGGAAATGAGTGGGACGAGGAGCAGCAACGATACGATAGCATGTGGGGTTGCTACTGTGCACTGCGTATTGTATCACATTTTTCAATGCTTGATCGACTATTTCTGCAACTAGCCACGGAGAAAGCACATTGCCTGCTGCGTAGCCCCTTCCAGGCTCCAAACACGTGAGATCCAGACACGATCTCTTAGCTCTGTGCTCACGCTCCACTGCGGGCTCGTCAGAATGGGACCCAGCATGACAGGCTGCAGCCTTGGAGCGACTAAAAGACAACGTGGAACAACCCTCAAAGCGATCAACAATATATTGCTTTAGCGTGGTTACTGGATTAATCCACAGAGCTCCTGATGACGCACGGTCCTGGTTGCGGTTATGGCCTATGCTCCATTCTGACTGTTAGTGAACGTCAGCCATAGTCCGAGTGACACCCATATTGGATTAGTTGCGGTGTCTTTATCAAGTACCAGTTATTATCTTGCAGGAATCATGAGACGATTCCATTGATCGACTTTGAGCCTTGGTCGATGTGACGGGACGAGCTTTCAGGCACAAGGGCTGAGACGGATAAACACTTGTGTGAGCTGGCCAATGCCTTGGGTACTGTATATGTGATATTCAGACAGAATAACCCCTTTCCAATGTGTGAGTGCGTCTATCACTTGGAATCATGAGTCTGGAGTCTGGAGCCTCTAAGAGAGAAACTGAAACTACCTCCATACCTAAATGGTGAAACTCCCAAGTGAAAAGGCCTTGTGGTGTCAACGTAAATCAAGAGTTACAACCTTAACCCTCACCTAGAAAACCAGATTGCGAACTAACTCCTATAAAATTTACACGACGTCGAAGGTATCAAAAGTGCAATGAATAAGTGCATTTTCACAACCATAAGTTGTGGAGGATGGTTTTTTCACTGTGGCCATGAGTTTTTGTAACTCTCCGAGCCGTATCTAGATAGTGCCTTTCAGAAAGCCCGTAGAACAAGTATAGTCTACCTGTTGAGCAGAAATTTTGCCATATATATCATGTGACATGTTAGGTACAATAGTTTACAGCCAGATCTGCTTTCCTATGCGTTAGTGCTTCCAAGAGTGGAGCACAGAGAATTGTCACGGAGAGTATCTGCACTTCAAGGTAAGTAGCAGTAAGTAGGAGGAGAGGCGAAATTTGCCCAGTTTGGGTGAACCTTTCTACTAGTACAACTAAACCATGGGGCACTTGAGAAAACCCATGAGAAGTGAGATGGTGCAAAGCATAAGTAACTTGGGAGAGCTGTTCATAGAACACGGTTCAGGATGCAATCAACATCAGTACAGAGTAGTTTAGTTGATTTTCACATTGAGGCAGTTCGCTCTTGCCAACCGAACTCATCCGATCCGGGCCAGCGGAATGACCACTCATTCTGTTGAGTCTGTCTTGAACACTCCCGGTACAGAGCCATGATACTTAGTACTGTACATCTCGGAGCACAGAAGAGCGGATCGGGCACTCTACTTGGGGTGAGTCTACACTAGTGACTTTTCTTTTTTTTTCTTTTTCTTTTTTCTTTTTTTTTCCCTTTTTTCTTTCTTTCTCTTTGTTTTTTCGTTGGTAAACCTATTACCACTTGTCGCGAGCACGGAGGCCTCGAAGCTCTGATAGCCACGGTCGCGATCATCAAATGGTGATTCGAAGGGAGGCGTCACCTCCCAGCCAGCCGGCGATATCCGGAGTGCATCCAGAATTGCAGATGCAGCTCGAGGACCGAGCGACAGGGTGATCTGCAGTCAGGATTTCAGGACAGCTCCCGCACTAGTCGAAGAAAAGGGCAGGAGGGTTGTAGATCGATAGCTCCTAGCTCCATGATTGGCCTACGACAGCAGCTGAGGAAGAAAGATCGGAAAAGCAAAAGCATCTTTCAGCTCCACAGCTCCCCCAGCGATTGTGCAGCACTGCAGCACTGCAGCTCCTCAGCAATCCCAGCGTCCCAAACTGCGGTACAACTTGGGCCGTCTCGCCTAAAGCCTGGTGGGGTGAGATCTTTCGACTGGGGCCAGGCTCATCTAGCAGGTAAATGAGACTTTTTTCACCTATCCTGGACAGTTCTCCACTTACGATGTTGACCGATGGCAGACAGTGATGGGCAAAATGACAGCTTGCAATCCATGTTTTGTCATCGAAAGGACGGGCCGATGCCGAAACGTACCAGATTTCATTACTAGCTCCAGATACAATGAACAGCGGTGAACACTGAGAACCTTCGATTGTGGATACTAACCGAGACGAAAAAAAAAAATAAAAAGAGAAGAAGAAGGAAAAATGAGTGTGCTTCGGCATTCAGTGTCTTCCGAAAGATAAAGCCCAACCTAGAATTGATTCTAGAGCTACGGATCGCTCATACGCACTCCTCCTGTATCTATGAGGACTGGGGGGAAGGTAAATATTTCCGAGCAAACCGCGCGAACCCCACCGAAGATCTTCTTGGCCGCCCTCCGATCTTTTCAGCCGTGGAAGATGATTTCCGATTCAATTGACGATACCGTCATCGTACCGGAGTCGATCGTCCCTGTGTATTGCACGGTACTTTCCTTGCCCCGCATGTGTCTCCAGGCTCCACGAGGAATTTATGGCGATGGTAGGGAGTAATGCAGACATGTTACAATGCAATAGGACTTTCATTTCATGATTTCATAAAATTGAGATTTAGAAAGAGTTGATTTCCCTGGCTTCAAACATATGGCTGGTAAATGTACTTCAGAATTCTCAGGTGCCAGGGGCTCCGGTCGGAGTGATGCGACCCTTGGCGTAGATAAGATGCTCACCACCGGCGTAAGGGTAGGCAGTATTGACGAGCTGGTAGATATGATCCCATTTGATCATAGCATGGCAGACCTAATTGCATTGGGTGGTTAGCACACTGAGATAAGCCTGGATGCTTGATGGTTTTAGGGCTACTTACTCCCTTCTCAGGCTCACCGCCGAAGCTCCTCCATCCCACTCCCAAGCAACGTGAATTCAAGGCACATTCTTCGGCACATTCCAGAACCGATTGGCGATACCACCAAATCTCTTCAACTGCCCCGTTGGTGCGGACGTTACATTTGACCTGGAAATCCACACCCCCAAGGGTAAACTGGCGTTGAGAACAGGTGCCATCGCAGAGACTCATCCAGCTGTTGCTGCGACACTTCTCATCGACCGACAGCCACTGACCACCACCCGTGCCACTCCCCACCGACGAGGCCTTTTCCTCCAACTCCTTGATCTTCTGCTGGAGGCCTGCCTTTTCGGCGTCACACTGGGACTTAGTCTGCTGCAGCTGGTCTTCTCCCTGCTTGCGGATCTCGTCCTTCTCCTTCTCACATTGAGAGGCGGCGGCGTCTTTCTCGGACTTGCATTGCGATCGAGCATCATCCACCAACTTCTGAAGCTGATCCTTCTCCGTGGCACACTGAGCTTTGGCGTTGGCAAGAGCGCTGTCTTTATCGGCCTGACACTGCTGCAGCTTGCTATCACCCTGCTGGCGGATTTCATCCTTCTCTTTCTGGCACTGAGAGCTGGCAGCCTCCTTGTCAGCCTGGCACTGCTGTAGTTTGCTGTCGCCCTGCTGGCGAATTTCATCCTTTTCTTTCTGGCACTGAGAGCTGGCGGCCTCCTTCTCAGACTTGCACTGCGCTTCGCCTTCCTGTCGAAGCTGCTCCTTCTCGGTCGCACATTGTTGGTTGGCGCCTGCGAGCGCTGCGGCCTTGTCGGCCTCGCATTGCTCCGCGCTAGCGGTGGCGCCGTTGGTGAGTTCGGCCTTTTCATTTTCGCACTTGGCTTTCTCCTCCCCACGAATCTGCTCTTGCTCAGTCGTGCACTGCTCCAGTGCCGCGGTCTTGTCCGCCTCACATTCGCTTGCCGCAGTAGCGGCCTGCTCTTTGAGTTGGGTCTTCTCGGCTTCGCATTTGGCCTTGGCCTCGGTGAGAGCGCTGGCCTTGTTGCTCTCACACTCCTTCTTCTGTTGCTCCTTCTCCGAGGCACATTGCGCAGCGGCCGTTTCCTTGGCCGCGTCGATGAATTCCTTACAATCCTCCTCCGGATCGGGATCCTCAGGGGTCTCCGCCGACTTGGTCAGGACCATCCAGTCCTTTGCCGGCGAGTAAGGGGCATAGTCGGTGTTTCCGCTGCCGAGCACGAAGCATTTCTTCCCAGCGCTGTGCCAGGAGGCTCCAGGACAGTCCGGACTCGAACAGAGCTGGGCGCAGTCCTTGGCACTGTTCACCTGTCGGTGCTGCGTGCCCGCGCCACTTTTGCCGGTCAAATACTGACCGCAGGTGAACTCGAAGGCCGAATCACCTACGGTCCCTTTTCCGGAGCCTTGGCTGTCAGGACAGCAGAGTTGGTAGTTGGCAGCCCCGACCGTGTTAGAGGATAGACATTTGGAGTTGGAGCCGCTGCTGGCCACCGTAGTGGCTAGCAAGGTGGCAAAAAGGGCAGCTTGAAAAAGCATATCACCGTCGCTCTTTCTGCAGATTGAAAGAGCACAGGTATGGAGTTGAACTTAGAGAAAAGAAAGATAAGTTGGTTGTGGTAGGTGGGTAGGGTGTTCAGTGATCACTTTATAGGTATTGAGAAGACCATGTCATAGGCTGTGGAAGCCTGCACGTAATTTCCACAAAAGCAAGGCTTTTTCAATTCAACTTGACCTAAGATCCCATGGGTCTTCCTCTACCATTTACCACCCCGAAGGGCTGATAGCAGACCCCCGTCACATCCATACGACCATCAACAATACACGGACTCCTACAGTACGTAGGTGTACTTCGGATGCTGATCCCTTGGAGATCTCCACAGCTGCTGCACGTCTCACGGAGCAATGACCAAATTCGTCAGCTCAGATTAACCGAGGCGATCGATGCGCGCGGCGCATCTCGGGGGGTTTGACAGTCAAGCTAGTCTAATCAATCACGATTCACTAATGAGGGTTTTGGCTAGCGCTAAGGCAGGTTCGCTCCGCCCCGGCTTCGATTGAGGCCCCACTTCATTGCATTCAATACCATCAATACCCTCAATACCATCAGTATCATGAATACCCTGCAAACACCCAAACCTGAGCTGCAGAAATCGAGCGAGCACATCTGATTTAGCGTCCATCGTGTCGGGACTTTTCTTCCTCCATGCTCGCCCTTCGCTGTCGATCACAGATCACATACTGACGTCCCGTCCCCACTCTGCCCTTTCCTCGAGAATGCTACTTCAAGCGGAGCTGACTTTAGTTCACCACTTCAGCTGAGCCCACAGCTAGCCACTGCTCTTTTGGAATTGGACTAGTTGATCGGGTAGGATCTCATCGCTTTCACGCAGAGACAGATACATACACCGCCAGCTCCCCATTCCCAGAACCGAAGTGATCGGCATCTGATCCACTTGACTGAGTGGCTAAAGCTGAAGTGAAGCGGAAATGCACATACGATCAGTATTGGAACATGATCACCAGGCGCGGAGAAGCCAAAGAGAACCGGCCGTCGCTGCGAGAAGAATCATGGTATAAATACCCTCACTTCCCGGGGCTTCCTGCCTTTCATCATCCTCACCATCTCTTCTCTTCCTCTTCAACTTTCTTTCCCACTCCAGCCACGCATCATGGCTAAGTTGGGGTCCTTGTTGGCTGTTCTGGTGGCCCTGAGCGCTGCCCAGGTTCAGGCCAAGCTGCCCGGCAAAACCAAGTACACCTTGGATGACATCCGTCCTTTGCAGGACCCTGCCTCTGGCTTGGTCAAGTGTTGTCCTGAGGGAACCGAGTTCGATGGCAAGAACTGTGTCTTGGGTGTTCCCAACTGTCCGGAGAACTTTGTTCGCAAGGGCGACAAGTGTGTGTCGACCATCAAGCCCATCTGTCCCGACGGCAGCGACTACAACGGCAGCATTTGTATCTCGACCGAGTTCCCTGTCTGTCCTCCTCCCACCGTGCTGAAGGGCAAGACCTGTGTGACTGGCCCCCCAACCTGTCCCTCTGGGCAAGAGTACAACGGCAAAGTCTGTCAATCCACCCAGATTCCCGGCTGCCCGGAGAATTACAAGTTCAATGGCAAGTCTTGCGTCAGCACCAAGCAGCCCGAATGTCCTCACGGCATGATCACCTGCGGCGGCAACTGCATCAGCGTTGAGCCCCCCGTCTGTCCCCCCGACACCGAGTTCCACGACAACTTCAAGAACTGCGTCTCGACTATCCGCCCTACTTGCGAAGACGGTACTGTCCTCAGCAAGGATGGCGTCTGTGTCGACGAGACCGGTCCGTCCTGCCCCCCCGACAACACCTTCAACCCCACCACTGGCAAGTGCGTCACCTCCGAGAAGCCTGCCTGTCCTCCCGGCAGCGCGCTCGACTCGCTGAGCAAGAAGTGTGTCATGACCGAAGAAGCCACCTGCCCCCCCGGCAGCGACCTCTCCGCCGATTTCGCCTCCGGCACAGCCCGCTGCTGTCCCTCCGGGATGATTTGGGACGGCGAGGTCTGTGTCTTCGACATCGACGAGACCGGCAAGTGCCCCCCCGGCACGACCAAGGTTGGCCAGCACTGCCAGAAGCAGCCCGTGCGCATCCCGCAATGCCCCCCCGGCTCCAAGCTGGAGCGCAGCCGCTGTGTCAGCATCGAGCAGCCCGAATGTCCTCCCGGTCACGTCCTCGAGGGCGGCGTCTGCACCTCGACCGAGCAGCCCGCCTGCCCCCCCGGCCTGACCCTCACCGGTAGCGTGTGTATCTCCACCGAGGAACCCAACTGCCTGCCCGGCACCCGCCTCGAGGGCACCATCTGCGTCAGCATCGAGCAGCCCGCCTGCGAGGACGGCTTCACCTTCGACGGCGAGAACTGCGTGTCCGAGCAGCTGCACCCTATCTGCCCGGAGGAGGGCAGCACCTTCGACGGCGAGGAGTGCGTGACGCCGCACTTCCCCTCGTGCCCCGAGGACACGGTCTTTGACGGCGCCCGCTGCGTGGCCACCAGCACCCCCTCGTGTCCGGCGGGCAGCGTCCCCAACGGCTCCGGCGACTGCGTTACCACCAGCGTGCCCAAGTGCCCCTCGGGCTCCACCCTGACCGCCACCGGCGGCTGCATCGTCGGCGTGCCCACGTGCCCCAAGGGCACCCTCTTCGACGGTAAGCAGTGCGTCTCGCGCAAGAACCCGACCTGCCCCCCCGACCACAAGTGGGTGAACGGCAAGTGCATCAGCACCGTGCCCCTAGAGTGCAACGAGCCCGGCTACCACCTCGTCGACGGCGAGTGCGTCTCCGAGAACCGGCCCGAGTGCCCGGCCGGCACCATCTTCGACGGCACCACCTGCGTCGGCACCGAGCCCGTCTGTGACGATGGCCTGGTCTTCGACGGCGAGGAGTGCGCCCACCCCCTCGAGCCCGAGTGTCCCCCCGACATGCGCTTCAACGGCCGCAAGTGTGTCGCCGAGAAGCCGCCCAACTGCTTGCCCGGCACCGTCTTCGTCCCGGAGTCCAAGTTGTGTGTTGCCATCTCCCCGCCCGCCTGCCCCCCCGGCCAGGTCTTCAACGGCAAGCAGTGCGCCCTCGAGAGCGGCGACTGTCTGAACTTCGAGTACTGCCCCCCGACCGGCTTCGGGGAGCCCGGATGCCCCGACGGTGCGCTCTATGATCGTCACACCGGCATGTGTGCCGACTGGTTGTATTAGTTGAGGGTGTTTGACGTGTGATGCATGGTGTATGTGGTAGGGATTTTGGGATTGGTGTTGTAATTTGATGTCTTGTTTAATGTGCAATTTGAAGGTCTCTGCATTTATGCTGCTGGCAAATCAAGTAAAACGTAGAATCGCGTGTCTGTAGGGCTGTATCTCGGGCCCAAGTGCCGCGCTGTTGGTGGGAGAGCTTTCGGAGAGCGAAACCAAAGTGGTGGATTCATGACCTTGCCGCGTAAAGCAAGCTAAGTACAGTGGATGGTTTGCTACAGTTCATGTGCTTGACGTCTTTTATTCAGCTATCAAATTGACCTTGATAATTCCTTCATTAAGAGAGCCATCATTCAAGTTCCGGAGACACGCAAAATACTGCCCACATTATCTCTGCGAATAAACAATGGGCAAAAGGCCCTAAATCTGAGAGTCGAGTCTAGCGAGTGCTGAAGAAAGACTTAGGGCTGGACGGTGATGATGATGTAAATCCAGTTCCAACGAGGAACTCGCTTTACCGGTAGGTCGATAGCGTACCGTGCTTTTTCCGGTCGGTTCTTTGGGCACCGACAACGCAATCCCTTAGAGGTGGTTCAATAGTAGTGTAATCAAAAGAAGCACACTGGACAGAACTCATGAGGCCAACATGCGAGGTACGGTACATACGGTACATACTGTTTATCGGTAACAGATCGACGGGACTAAGTATAGCGCATTGAAAAAATCCTGATCTGCATTCTCTGCCAGTCAGACAATCAACTGACACGAGCACCAAGATCCAATGGTCTGTCTAGTCGAGTGACGGGTAGAATCTAGAGCGTGCTCATGATGTCAATGCGGTTGACGAAGTTTCTCGCTTCCTTGATGGAACAAACGCAGCGGTCCAACCCGTTTTCAGACAGCAACATATGCAATCCTCTTGAGGAGATTTGTGTGACAAGTACATCCATAGCTATATATTATCCAGAAAGAAGTATTCAGTCATGGCGTGTGAAAACGGCCCGATCGGCATCCATCGGGATCGAAAATTGCCGCAACGCTCCAACAAAACCACTCTCGCGGCACGCAATAGTCACCACCACCAACTCAAAAGAAATCGAGCGATCTAGAATTCATTTCTCAATCTGGGCAGAGGTGCACTCTCGCGTCCATGGGACGGTCTTGCTCTTGAAGACGTCATCAATGGCCGGCCAAATACTCCGGTGGGGCAGCGGGCGGGAACCCTGTCACAGTCACGCTTATCTGGGCGGCAGCCCGCTCTTCAGACACGTGAAGAATCCCTGGTTACGGGTATCTGTGATCTTGGGTCCGGTCGGGAATGCTGTTCCGCGATGAAGGCTATTAGGAATTGAGTTCCGGATCGATGGGGAGTTGTTGGTGGTGACGTATTGAGCCACTCCAGGTGAGAATCTGCCGTATGCGAAACCCTAAGCTAAATGTACTATATCCACCTACCTATACGGTACCAGCTTATACTATACCCTTTTGAGCAGATTGATTATTTGCCTTCCTTGACTAAATCGAACTCAATTAAGACACGCATACAGATCAATCCTCACCAATAGCGCCCACCTCCCTCGCAATTTCCACCAACCCCCCAAGCACCTCCTTCTCCGCGGCGCTGAAACTCCCGACATGATCCGCCGCCAAACAGCAGACGTTATTCTGCTGCAGCTTCCACGCGCCCACGGCCGTCGCCTCCGACGGTTCCGTGATGAACGCCTCGAACGCCGTCGGCTGCTGGCGCGGGTCGTCCGAGTACTTGTTCGGGAGCAACCACCCGTTGAACCACAGCGGGCGGCCGTCGGTCCCCAGGTGCAGCAGCTGCGGTGCGCAGATGCTGAACTGGGGGTCTTCTGGGTTCCCACTCCTTGAATCCCCCTCAGCTGCATCCACCGTCTCATTGTCAGCTGCTGCCCGCGCGCGGTTCACCTTCGCCGTGCCCATGACCGCCGCGTCGCCCTCATGGAACGCGTAATCCGTATCCCCGACCAGCTCCCAGCCCAGCCAGAAGGTTTCTTTGTCTCCTGTGTATTCGTTAGTCAAGCCCATCACCAATGCGTAGTAGTATCCTCTTCCTCCCACGAAATAAAAAGGGAAAACAAACCGTAAACCATATCATAGACGCCGACCTTGCCGTTCGCCTTATCGCCATCGCGATCCGGCCCATTCAGCCGCGTCACCAGCAGCAACGCCACAAAATGCCGCCACTTGTCGACGACCACCACGCCGGACTCCTGCATGTGGATGCTCTGGCCCGTCCACATGCGGCTGCGGCGCACCGCCCGCGACAACGGCGCCGGCAGCACCTGCCGCAGCCACGCGCGCTTCTCCCCAGGCATGAGCAGTCGGTCCTTGAAGAAGAGGGCCCCCGTCTCAACGTAACCCGGGTCCTTAAAGAGGTCCGCTGGATTGGTGATGAAGAGTGCGTCCGCGTCAATGAAGATCGCTTCGCGGAAGCTGGAGAGCAGAATGGCAAAGGGTTTGGCGGCCCAGCCGCGCAGCGTCCAGCCTTCGTCCTGCACCATTGGTGACAGGTCGCGCGTGATCACGCCGGGGATGGCTTCGAGGGCGTCGCGGGCGTCTTCGCCGAGGTCGTCGTCGCCGAGGTACATGATTTCGACCGGAAGCGTGCAGCCTTGTTGCCGAAGGGATTGTAGGGAGGTGAGTACGTAGGGCGCTTGTTTGTCGCCAGCGGTCAGGACGAGGCCTCTCCCGCCGCTGTGGAATTGCGTGTGTAGGGTGGTGTGTGAGGGGAAGTATGGGGTTGTCCAGTCGAAGAGACGTGTGGAGAGCTGAGTGTAGAAGATTCGGAGGGTCTCATAGCTGTGCATTAGGGTGGGGTTGTCGGTTCGGAGGTCGTGGGCAATGGAGGGGTAATTCTGGAGGAGCTGAAGGATGTCATCGCGGGTGAGGGGCCCTGTGGCCGTTGGGACGAGGTGTACGGCTTCCCAGGCGTCGAGAAGGGAGCGGAAGGCCCGGGCCCGCAAGCCGAGCTCGTGAAGTTTAGCTTCGCCGGTGCTGGTGATGGGGCTGACGAGGCCTTGCGCCTGGGATGCGTTGGGAAGGAGGGAGAGGAGGTGGGAAAGGTTCTTGGTGAAATTGGTGCGGTCGAAGTTGGGGAGGACGTTGCTGGGGGGAGGTGAGTTGTGTAGGGCTAGTGGACTTTGAGAGTGGGTGTCTGTGATTATAGCGCTTGGGTCTTCTCGTTTATAGAGAGGAGGCCCACAGAGCCCTGCATGGTGGTACTCGATGGTGAGCAGGGTTGCTTTGAAGCAGTATCCTACGAGAAGAACGAGGAGCAGCGCCCTCGACAGGATCGACGCCCGTCGGGTCTGATTTGGGAAATGCGAGACGGTAAACATTGAACTGAGATTGTGCGGCCGTGAGTAGGATTGATGATGAAACACAGGTTGATTATGGGACAAGATTCTTATAGCACATATCTCAGAGTTGGTCTAGCGTCGAGAGCAAATGCCCATGTCTAGAATGTGGTCTTGACGTCGAAGGCTTTCGTATGGATTTAGAACCGCGTGCTCTTCAAACCCTCATACCGGTCTAGAACGTTGCGCGAATTTAAGCCTCAAGAAAAAGCAAACCGGAACCAGACGGCCATTCTTATCTGCCTTGGATAGAGTGAAGTGCCGGAATTAAAATTGCTAAGGTGTGGTGCGATCCAGTGTGCAGATATGGTTCCTAGAGCTCGGGTCAACTCTGAAGCTGGGAGCTGAACTCTGTTAGAATGGTATTCCAACCAAACTTCATGATGGAGCCTAGAACACTTGTACAGGATTAAGCTCTAGTGTTCGGTGCTTGAAAGGAAGTCAATTGATCTTGCCACTGACCCTGACAAACTCAGTGCATTTCTGTACCGCTCACTCAAAGATGTCCAGAACAAAGAGAACAGGAGACAGATTTCAAAAAGCAACCCCAGCAAGTAAACTTCATACGAGAAGGAGGTATGTGAGGTCACCACTTGAGTCACCACTTGGATCAGTCATTTTGATGCCTCTGTAGAAACATGCTGCATCGTCTATATAAGAGTCCCTCACCAGAACTTCATCTTTCTGCTTGAGACAACAATCAAGTTCATGATAGCATTCCTCCAAGTCCTATCAAGATGAAAGTCTACTTCAAGTTGATGCTCAGCTTTGCTGTGCTGAACCTCCTTTCCACACTTGTTGCTGCCGGCCCAGGAGGATGGATACCAAGATCCCGCTACAAGAAGCCTGCCCTCTTCCAACGACAAAACCCTTTGCCAACGGGGGTAGATCCCACAAATGCCAAGTTCTATATCGGCCAGCAATACTACGGGACAAGTGTAACACTGTCAATTTCGGGTTCTAACCTTATTGTCAGTTACCCACAAACTCTAGATTACACATACAATGAGGTGCATGTATGGATTGGTACAGGCACCCCCCCCGGTTCTGGACCTGGCCAGTACCCCTACACCAACTCGAATGGGTTCTGTACGTTGAATGGTGCCACTGCTAGTTGCACTATTCCTATCTCGAGTATCACCACCAGCAATCCATGCGACAAGGAGTTCAGTATTGTGACCCATGCGGGACTTGTCTCGCCGACTCGTCCATCGGAGACCGGGACTGCCGGTGAGCTGACTGGGTATAGAAGCTGGTGGAAATGGTTCAAATTTACATTTAAATGCTCTTCAACAACTACCACTACTAGTACTACAACTACTACAGCACCAACCACAACAACTAGTAGTACAACAACTACTACAGCACCAACCACAACAACTAGTAGTACAACAACTACTACAGCACCAACCACAACAACTAGTAGTACAACAACTACTACAGCACCAACCACAACAACTAGTAGTACAACAACTACTACAGCACCAACCACAACAACTAGTAGTACAACTACTACTACAGCACCAACCACAACCACTAGTAGTACAACAACTACTGAGGAGGCGACAACTACCACCACCACTACTACAGAAGAGCCCGACAACCACTACCACCACTACTACAGAAGAGCCGACAACCACTACCACCACTACTACAGAAGAGCCGACAACCACTGCCACCACTACTACAGAAG